GCTCAAGACGATTCTATAGGGTATTGTACACCAAAACAACTAGACACAAGGATAGTTTTTCCCCCATGCCATCATTCTGCTAAACAACTAATTCCCACAACACTGTCTTATGCCCTAGGCCAGGATGTATTACAGATAGTCCTGGACATGACCACAATTGACCCCCAAATTTCTTTTGCTAACTGAAACATTTGTTAAGTGAGTTTTGCCCCATTTTACAACCTTTCTTGCCACAGTTGTTAAATGAATCATTGCAGTTGTTAAGTTAGTAACATGGTTGTAAAGTGAATCTGGTTTCCCCATTGATTTTTCTTGTAAGAAGGTTGCAAAAGGATCACATGACCCCACAATACTGCAAACTCATAAATATGAATCAGTTGCCAACTGTCTGAATTTTGCTCATATGACCATGGAATGCTGCAACAATGTGAAAAACAGTCTTAAAAGTCACTTTTTTCAGTGCCATTATAACTTTGAATAGTCACTAAATGAACTTGTAAGTTGAGGACTACCTGTACTATTACCCTTCTCATCTTTCCTATTACCTATTTCCTTAGCTTCTTATAACTATAACTTTGTTGTTTGTATCTTATGATTTATGTTGATTGCTTTTATTAGTATTGTATTATGATTTATATTGATTGCTTATTTAGTATCCTATGACTATCACTGAATGTTGTAGCTTATGATTTATGATGATTGTATTTTATGATTATGATCATAATCTATCACTTGCTGCTTGTATGTACAGGGGAGCTTATGGACCGGAGACAAATTTATCCTATCCTATCCTATCCTATCCTACCCTACCCTACCCTACCCTATCCTATCCTATCCTATCCTATCCTATCCTATCCTGTTCTATTCGCAGTGAAGGTAGCTTACAAAACCAACACAAGAACATATTTTCAAGAAGCTAAAGAATAAGGAAACAAGAATTAAATGATGAAATCAAATTCCTAAAAGAGACTACATAAACTATAACATTCACTGCTTGTCTAAATAGGAAATTAAAGGCCAAAGGCTTTAAGATCGTTCTGGGGAGGTGGTTCCAAATTCTTAATACTGTTGTTGACAAAGCTCTGTTGTGAACTAAACTTCCTTATCAAGGGCAGCCTTTCTCAATCTTACTTAGTTTAAGAAATGTGGACTTTAACTCCCAGAATTGCTAGGAGTTGAAGTCCACACAACTTAATATAATTGAGGCCAGGAAACACTGACCTAGAGCAGGGGTCTCCAACCCCCTGTCTGTGGACCGGTGTCAGTCCATGGCATGCCAGTACAAACAAGCAAAGCCCGATCTGCGGGATGCAGGTAGCACACAAAACCATGCCCCCTCCGGTACACAGAAAAACCTCTCTCCATGGAACCAGTCCCTGGTGCCCAAAAGGTTGGGGGCTTCTGGTCTAGAGGTTTGTAGGTCAATGCTGAACTTGCACTAATGTAGAAGCAAAATGGTGAAATTGATAGAGAATCGAACCACTTATCTGCCACAACCTTGGCAGGAATAGCTAGCAAATTATGCCCAAACCTTGGCAGGACTGGGCTAGACCAATTGGAGCTCCCAAGGTGGAATCTATATTTTATTTATGATGCTTTATAAGAGCAGAATATTTTAAGAAATAATTACAAATAAATCACACAATTGGCTGCATATAATATATTAGCATAAGCCAGCAACTTTTAATTACACTCACTTTAGTAATTACTAGTAGAATACCTTATTTTAGTGCTTATTAGTGGCTTAATTAAAGGTTGGGGTTGCTGTCATATTTTTAAAAATTCAATATTACTTATTATTTGCTGTTTAGTCTTATTTATTCCCATTTCTTTATACTTCCATCTTTTAAAAAATCCGCACCATTCCTTGCCAAACAATTAAATCTTTGCAATCTCTGATTACTGTATATTACAATGAATATCTATCTCTCTACATTCATACTTCTCAGCAGTGTGTTGCAATGAAAAGAGATACTGTTCCCTTACCTAGATCTTCTGCCTGTCCTGTAAGGAAAACTCCTAATATGAAAGCAAGTAAGAAAGTAAAATGGGGTTGCTATACTGTTGTGACCATAATTTGAAGCTAGTGCAAAGTATAGTAAAATTTATAGACTAATAGCCTATTGCCTTTAAAGCCCTGAATGATTTAGGGCAGTGATGGCGAACCTTTTAGAGACCAAGTGCCCAAACTGCAACCCAAAACCCACTTATGCATCGTCGAGTGCCGGGTGGGTGTGGCCCATTGGCTGGGCGTGGCTGCGATGGTAACGGCAGACTGGGTGGGACTAAAAAGTTCAATCAATCAATTCCAACTTTGCAAGATCTTTTTTTTCCAGTGAGCAATTGAAATTGACTAATTGAACTTTTTTTTTTTTGAAACATGGCGGTGGAGGCCTAAAGCGAAAAGGTTTTACAAAACCCAGCTGAAGGCCTAGGACTGGGGCGATGGCGCGCGTGCCCACAGAGAGGGCTCTGAGTGCCGCCTCTGGCACCCTTGCCATAGGTTCGCCATCACTGACCCTGTTTGCTGCTTGATCACTTAGACATTTGGAAGATGTCCCCATTGCCAGAGTCTCATTTTTTTGGTATATAGGAATAGGTCTTCTAAGTGGCTTCAGAATATTCAGGAAAATGGCAAAAATGCATTCTTTTAATTACATTTTTGGTTGGTTCTATTTATTTTAATTAATTTTAGTTGTCTGATTCTCTGATCATGTTTCCCCCCCCTTATATTTTGTTTTAGCAACGAAAGTCAATTTGTGTGGCACTTATATTAAACAGATAGGCAGGTTCTAAATATAATGAGAACAACTGTGGTGATTCTTTCTTTAACTTAATGTGGGGTACAGTCCTGGATGTTGGTTATGATTGCTGTGCAGTGAACATTTGAAGGCTGGGCCAATAACTAAAATCTCAGGAGTTATCATCAGGTACCTTCATTACTGAAAAATTCACATCTATCTTTTCCAAAGTCATTCCTGGACAACAATTGACAAGGCATATTTACTGTCAAGTTAAGCCGGTCACCTTAATTCCTCCTGTGTTTTCTGTATCACTTTGCATCCACCCACTCTCTCCCACTTTTATTTAAATTCTCTTTAAATGTAACAAACTGAAATTTAAAGGGTAGATAACACACCTCTGCTGTTGTAATGGGGAAATTATTTGCTGTATGTATATAAAAACAGGCAGTGCTCATGAAAGGAACCGGTAGAACACTTGAAGGTGATTTTCAGGTTTGAAAAGTGAAAGAGCTACACAAACAGCAATCAGAAACAATTAAGAATACTGGAACAAATGCCTCATTCTTTTCTCCAATAAGCCCACAAGGGAAATTGCACTTTCCTTTTCTCAGTCTCATTGCATTTCAAATAAGGCTCCCAGCTAAGTCATGGCAGGTTTTTTTTTCTCCTCTCCGCTCTCTTAAGTCCAACTCCAATCAAAAGGTATTGGTTAAAATCTTCCTATTACAACATGAGTGAAAGGGGTGATTGTCTATCTTGATGAATCTAGAAGATTGTCTTGGATAGAATTGGACAGTTTTTGTGTGCAGAGTGGCCTCATTATAATGTTATTACAAGCCATGCAGAACACTGTTTTTTAAAAAGATGAAGAAAAGAGGATTGAATATGTACACGCGAGCGCACACATATAGAATCAAATGCCTATAATGCTGAATATTTTGGTGCTGATGCTCACCATGTAGAAGAGAAACTACAGCGTATATTACATCTTTAGTGCAAAAACAGTAGAGCTTTTCACTCATTAACTTTTAAAATTATGAATTGTACATGGACATAATCTTGTTCTTGTAGCTAATTTTTGGAGAAAAGTATCTGAGATCACTATGGTTTATACCCAATTCTGCTATATTTTTCCTTGGGGAAAAATTGAGATTATCAACAGAAATCCATTCAGTGTCAGCAGCAATAATAGATATAAAATAGACTAAGTTATTTTACATTAATATAGTGATGCAGGTGTAGTTCTAATTTTTTAGTATACAGTCTTTTGTGCTGATAATTATTACCATACAGCACTTTTTTGTCCAAGCAATAAAAAATTGCATTTGACCTTTCCCAATTTGTTTTTTTGATCTTTGAAGGGCTTTTAGGCTGTTCTAATCAATGGACTTTGAATAACACACAACTTCCCAAATATGTAATTTGGATTAAAAGCAAATATAAATCAATTTACAAACAAGCATATATTGTAAATCCATATTAAACTAAGAATCATATTCAATAAAACAAAAACAAATTCATTAAATGCTGAACCTAAAAACTTTGTCAATTTGGAATAATTTGTTTTAATTTTTTCATTAATTAATTCATTAAATCATTAAAAAAATATTCAGTTTTTTTTCTAGTGTTATTGTCAAGCCCCAAGGGGCTTGCCATTCGGTGGGGGGGGGTAGCAAGCGAACAACCCCACCCCCACCAGCACGCCTCGTCGTCGGCCCCGGTGTTGCCCTGCCCCGAGTCTTAGGTCGTCCGGATGATAAGAAGAGAGCTGACCACCCACCTTTTAAAGTTGGGGACTAGGTCTACTTGTCGACAAAGTATCTTAGGTTGCCAATACCTAATAAGGAATTAGGTCCATTCCAAGTGGTAAATATGTAGGTCCATTCCAAGTGGTAAAAGTAATCAACCCGGTCACTGTACGATTGAGGCTACCCCCATTCCTGGGAAAAGTGCACCCGGTGTTTCACGGTAGCTTGTTGAAACTGGTATGAGGGCCTGCTGTGAGTACTAAGGGGACTGGGCCAGTCATTGGGGATGAGTATGAAGTACAAGAGATAATCGACTCCCGAATAAGACATGGCCAATTGCAGTACCTCATCCAATGGAAGAGATATCCCCTGTCAGACGCCTCTTGGGTGAGGGAGGGGGACGTTCATGCCCCTCGACTAATACAGGCATTCCACCAGCGCTGGCCGGAGAAACCGGGCCAGGCACAACACAACCGGGGGAACTCACTATCTTGTCGTTTTCTTACAGGTGAGGACATGGTAGGGGGAGCCGCATGTCAAGCCCCAAGGGGCTTGCCATTCGGTGGGGGGGGTAGCAAGCGAACAACCCCACCCCCACCAGCACACCTCGTTGTCGGCCCTGATGTTGCCCTGCGTGCCAGCCCAGCCGCAGACGGTGCCGGAGCCAGCCTGCAGCACCCCGCCGGCCAGCTGGGAGAAGGAGAGCAGCCGACAGCCCCTCAGCCAGCCTTGGATGCTGCAGGAGACGCCGCGGCTGCTGCAAGGTGTCCCGCCGGCCAGCTGGGAGGCGGAGAGCAGCCGGTAACGCCAGGCGGCGTGTGGCCTCTCCCCGGCGCCACGGAAGGTACCGGAGCCGGCCTGCAGCACCCCGCTGGCCAGCTGGGGGGAGGAGAGCAGCCGAAGGCCTCTCGGCCGGCCTTGGATGCCGCAGGAGACGCCGCGACTGCTGCACGGTGTTCTGCCGGCCAGCTGGGAGGTGGGGAGCAGCCGGCAACGCCGGGCGGCGTGTGGCCTCTCCCCGGCGCCGCGAAGGATACAGGAGCCAGCGCGGAGCATCCCGCCGGTCAGCAACGCACCCCCAGCATGGCCATAGAAGGGGAGGAGGTGCACGTTACCAACCGCCTAGCTGAAAAGGACTGGCCAGCGGCTGAGCAAACAGACCTACCATTAAGACTGAAAGCAGCGGACATGGGGCAGCAGCAACAGACGGGCAGACGCTGGACTGCGGGGGGCGGGGCTGCACGGGAAACGGGGTTAGAGCACAAGGGTGGGGTTATAAGGGTAATCAACCGGATGGTGGTTTGTGGGCGGAGGGCAGGGATGTGGGCGTGGACATACTATAAAGAGCTCTGGGGACAAGCCATTCCCAGTGCTGACTTTGTTAGTGAATAAAATTACTAACGTGCACCGAGTTCCTGCGTTCCTGGCCTTCATTCCGGACGACCTAGGACTTGGATTGTCAGTTATCTTTGAAAACTGTTTATTTTACAAATTAGGGGCAAGTTTTTAAATTATCCAAAACTTTTCTTTATGCTAGTGTAAATCAAAACAGGAATAGAAAAGTATAAAACGTGTGTCTATTGCTGTAGTCACAAATAAGTTTCAGTTTGTAATAACCTCAAGATATAGAACTAGAAAAGTAGTTGTCATTGCTTTAGCTTTGTGAAATGTGTTGTAGTGATTAAACAGCTGTTTTAGAATTAGGAAGACCCAGATTCAGATTGTACTGCTGAACGTGAATTGCTAATATTTAATTCTGCACTGTATTAATATTCATTAGACTACTTTGAGCCGGTTGCTATCTCTTAACCCAATGTACAAGACAAAATAGTTAGGTTATGCATGCTGCCCTGAGCTCCTGGAGGAAAAGTGAGATGCAAATCAAATCAGGTAGTCAAACACCTTCTTGTGAAAGAATTAGTTGATTCAATATGCTGGCTTTCATTTTTTTAAATTTCTGAAAGTTTGAGCTAACTAACAGGTTTCTCCCATTTTCACTGTATCAATGGTACATCATTGTGTAGGTCCTAATTAATTTCAGTCAATAATAATGATAACAACTGCAATAATAATAATAGAGTTGGAAGGGACCCTGGAGGTCTTCTAGTCCAACCCCCTGCTTAGGCAGGAAGCCCTATACCATTTCAGACAAATGGCTGTCCAGTCTCCTCTTAAAAACTTCCAGTGTTGGAGCATTCACAACTTCTGGAGGCAGGTTATTCCACTGATTGTCAGGAAATTTCTCCTTAGTTCTAGGTTGCTTCTGTCCTTGATTAGTTTTTATCCGTTGCTTCTTGTCCTGCTTTCAAGTGCTTTGGAGAATAGCTTGACTCCCTCTTCCTTGTGGCAGCCCCTGAGATATTGGAACACTGCTATCATGTCCCCCTTTGTCCTTCTCATTAAACTAGATATACTGAATTCCAGCAACCGTTCCTTATATGTTTTAGTCTCCAGTCCCCTAATCATCTTTGTGGCTCTTCTCTGCAAAACTGTGTGCAGTATTCCAAGTGTGGCCTTACCAAGGTGTTATAAAGTGGTATTAACATGTCACATGATCTTGATTTTATCCCTCTCTTAATGCAGCCTAGCACTCTGTTGGCTTTTTTGGCAGCTGCAGCACACTGCTGTCTCATATTTAAATGATTGTCCAATAAGACTCACAGATCCCTCTCACATCTTAAATAAAGGGTTTTTTGGATTGAAATTCCACTAATCAAGATAATAATCATCGCTTGATTTACAGTTTTTAACAGTTATATTTAGAGGATAGCCTGTAGTGATATTTTGTTCCAGGGGCAAAGTAGGCATTCTTCTGTCATACTTTACAGCTGTCATGCCTTCGTGGATTAGAATCCTATTTCGGCTTCCAAGGAATTCAGTGATAACTGATTGTTGGCCTTCCAACATTAGCGGAATTATCAGAAATGTATGATGGCAATTGTTGTGATATTCTGAATAGAAAATCTCACTGTGGAGGTTTTAGGCAAGTTAGATCTATTTTTATCTTGTTCTACATCTGGTCTTTGTATTTGGTCAAATTTTTGACATCTTGCAAAACCATGGAAGCTTCCAGAAATCTCAGAAGCATGACTCTACTGCTGCTATCAATTGCATGGAATCTGTTATTTTTAGACTTATGGTAACATGAAAAAGGATTTGGAAATAATTCTTCAGAGCCATCACTATTATCTTACTGTTCTAATATTTTTATGTTTTGTCTTCCTCTTCACAAAACAAAAAAATGTACAGCAGAATTGTACAATAATTAAATGAAGAAATAAGTCATACATGCAATTATGCAAGAGAGAATGGCTAGTCACAATTATCCTGATTTTTTTTAAAGGCAAATGTTAAGCATTGCAAAGGTTCACTGCAGTCTCATTTTCAAAACTGCTATTTTCCCCCTCCAGTTTCATAATGCTCTTTTTGTCACACTTGAACTATTAGACATGCTTCCCTTACTTTTGATAGCTTTTTTTAAAACAATAGTTTCATTCATTCTTATAACTGAGTGAAATGTTTCCTGGGTACCCAGCTTCCTCTTAATAGACTAATACAGTAATACAGTAATTCTGCTGTATCAGCATTGAAAATAATTAAGTCACACTCTGAGATAGAGTAGAAAATGACTGCCAGTGGTAAGACTAGATCCATAATTAGTGCAGGAATAAACAGAAAGACTTCTATTCATAGCTTCTTCTAAATTTGTGGGATATTTAGGTTTCTTGTCTGCTTATATTTACTGTACCTAGGACATATATCATGTATGGATAGCTTTATTAATTTATTAAATTAAACCTTAATATAGTAGCAGATCTGTCACAGCAAATTGGAAGAGAAGTTGCCAGGCAAATAAAATAAACAACTACCAGTTTGTGTTTGCTTTTAATGGAGAGCTGCCACTTGAAAAATCTTTTATAGTAATACTAAGTGCTAGATTATAGATTAACAATGGCTATCAAGATTTCTATATCAAACAAATCCTTGTCTGGATTTCCAATTGTTCTCATGAGTCCCTGGCTTCTTATTTGGGTCCTCCTGACTGTGGCCATTCCTCCCTCTTGACACTGTCTACAACCAGTCTTGACATCCAGACTGTCAAGGAAAGACTTCCAGTATGTGATTTTTATATGATTGCACACCATCTGTTCATTGCTGCTAGACACAAAGGAAAGTTGTGTTAATAGTCTTCGTGCTCCACTTTCCCCCTCCCTACAGGACATGGCATATTTTTTCACTTTCAAGTTGAAATACTGAATTTTTAGGTAATTATCATGCCCCCTATATTCTTTTTATCACAAGGTGTTTTGGTCTTTTGAGAAGGAAATAATGAAAGAAGAATAAAAGAAGTGGACATTAAATCAGTGTAAAGAAGGTTGCAGAGATTTCTTGCATCTTCCATTTGTCTTTACAATCCAATTATATATAGTACCACACTGCAGTTGGCATAACAGGCATGTGATGGAATTATCTTGCAATCAGGTTGCCTACAAGGACACCAAGAAGATGAGCGGTTTTATTTTATTCCGTCCCCCTTCTTTAAATCTCCTTAGATTTAAAAATGGTTTGGGCCACCAAATTAATTGTTTCAGAGAAAATCCTTCTTTACAGATCACACAGGATAAAGATAGGAAACATGCTTTCTGTAGACGTGAATCAGATGTTCTTTTGGAGTTACACTGATTTTCGCTTTTAATTCCTTGTCTTGCTGACATATACATTAAAAGAATAATGAGAGCTGTATTTGTGCACTTTAATGCTCTCCTTACCGATCCTCATGTACTTTATCTTTGCATTAAGCTAGTGAAGAGGGCTAACTCCCTATCTCAGGTAGAATAAAAATAATTGCAGTACCATGTAAACAAGAAAATAGTGGCTGAGCTGAAATATTGCTTGGACAGCTAAATAAATTTGCTAAAATAAATGAATAACAGTCAAAACAGAAATAAAGACACTATACAGGTACTGCACTGATAATGATGATTATGATGATGATGTTGTTGTTTTAAATATGATTGTCCAATTGACTAGGTGTTGAAGCCACTGATTCAGGTTCCAGTCAAGGATTTATGGAGGCACTGTTGTAAAATACATGCTGTTTCATGTAGGGTAGTCCTGTGAAATGACAGTCTCAAGTCTAATAAGTTTAATACATTATCACCATCATCAATATTGCAAGAGAAGAAGTTTCATGTTCTGCAGTGTAAGCAACACATAGCAAAACAATAAACGTAGTAAAGCAGCATGAAAGAAAGCATTTTTTTAAAAATGAGACAAACTAAGACAAACTATTTTATTGAATAATGTATTTTTTTTAGTTTGCTTTCAATTTTTATATCCCTACAGCATGGAAGAACAAGTAAAATAATACAAAAGTAACAAATTTAAAATAATTTCAAACCTAGTTAAATACACAAGCAGAATAGCATCCTTCAGATACGTTGGTAAAAATATTCCTACTATTCCACACAGCAAAAGGAAAGTTAATTTGGGGGCTGATTGGAGTAGCTGTATACACACTCCCTATTCATGTAAAAAATACATTCCAAAGAATGAAAGCAATGGGGAAGTACATAAAATTTGATAATCTGATTTTTTTCCTAACTAATGATAATACAGTACAGCAACTATCAAGAGAGTTATAGAACAGGATGAAGCCACCAAGATGTTGACAGGTTTATTTTTATCACCTTTCCCACCATCCTTACTTGAAACCCAGAATTGTTTATCAATTAGTATTTTATATTTATGCAGGCAAAGGAAAACAAACATGCTATGGTACCTCCTCACGGTCCATGCTTCTGACACTAATCAAGCTATATGTCTTTATTTATATTGTCCTTGCAGGCTAAGTGAGAATTACATTTATGCCACACTAATACACTCTTTTTTCGGATCTTCTTAAAATCGGGTCTTCTTCAATCTTTGCTATAGGCATCAAGGGCCAACTCAGGATTTTGTTGCTTGATGCACAGCAGCTAATGGAGCCCCTCCTCGCAAAGTCATGGTATATAATATCCAAGACCAAGCAAGTTGTTTTGGCAGCTGAGGCAGTAAATGTCACAATTGGCTCTTTCCCCCTACTTGGCAGCAAATGCATATAGTCAAGACAAGAATAAAAACCTGCTAAGACAGCTGACTTGGTTTATCTAATGGTAAGGCTGGCTCTCCATAAATAACAATAAACATGGTTGCCACATCACATCTATGTCGACTTTTAAAAAGCCATGGGACTTGGTTAGTGCTTTTAAAAGTAAATTCCACAGAATGGAAGCCTGTATCAGGAAGATGTCCCATCAAATATTTTTGATCTTGGTTTTTAAAGGAAGCCCACATCTGTTGTCTTTGGTAAATAAAATGATATCCCCACTTTCAGGCCATATGGAGGAGCCAAATGGATCAGTTATTCTCTCAGACACATCTCAAAATTTGCTGCATGAGTGACAGTCTCGTTTTACCTAATGGTTGAAACATTCCTACTGCCCCTTTAGTATTTCAGAGTCTTAAGTATTGCTGCTGGTAATAAGACTTGAGTAGTTGCAGAGAAGTTTCATCAACTGAGCACAGGGAGAGATCTGAGCAAGTTTCTGTAAAATAGAAGTTCAGGAGATATTCTTCCTGGACCACGTCCTTTGTTGTTGTTGTTAGTTGCAAAGTTGTGTCCGACCCATTGCGACCCCATGGACAACGTTCCTCCAGGCCTTCCTGTCCTTTGCCTTTAGCCTTTTACTGCTTATGTCATTATCCTTTGGGCAATGCCACCACCCAGCATGCTTATATAGCTAAACAATTTCATTTTTGCAAAAGCAACATTGCCTAATAATTCTGGGAAGCACCGCAGGAGGAAATGGTGGCTATAAAAATAGAGTTATTTATTCCAGAGAAAGGATAAAGCAACCACTTGAAATAGTGCCTTTATCTCTTTTTTTAAAAGGAGACAATTTCTTACAAAGTGAATTAAACTACAAAATATGCCAATTTTGATTTCTAGCCCAGTCAACTACCCCACATTTATTTGATTCTGCTTTAAGCCCCTCTATTCTATTTTTAAGCCCCCTTTTACAGAACTGCAGCTTCCTTTTCACCTTCCTCCTCACAGTTTAACACAGATGTCTAGGCTCAGCCTATTGTTCCAATTGTCTGTAGTTTAAAAAAGCTCTGCAGTATTTTACGGCTTCTATTGTATGCTTGGTTCCCTGAGTGCTCTGCTCACGGCATATTGCTTATCTTGGCTGTGTTTGCTAAACCCATTTATGGTTCTCTCTCCTCCACATTCTGTAGACACTTGTTCATCAGGGAGCTTAAATTGACTTCTCTTCCATTCTGTTTCTTTAACTAAAAATGCACCATTAAGGTTGATTGAAGTCTTTTGAAAACACTTCATAAAAAATGAAAGGGCATAAGAAATGAGGCTACCCGTGTTTGCAAATACTTGTTTTTCAGATAAATTGGTGGGAAGAAATCTGAAAGAACTGGGAACTTAACAACGCAATTGATAGGTGCTGATATCTTCCCCTTGTTTTTGCACAAATTGGCAAAGCGTACATAAAAACAGTTTGGGAAATGTAAAAATTGGGCCACTCAGCAAATTGTTTTAAATAAAAGACAGACTGGCTGGAGAAACCCAGATCAAATGCTTAGATTGCTTTATGCATTTATCCCTGAATAAAGACGTCTTTTTATTGTTAGATATTATCCTCATCTTATTGTCACACTGGATTTCAAAAAAGAAAAATGTTAAACAATCTTTACAGAGTTTTAATTAAATATGAATAAAGTGCATGTACCTCTTGCAAAATATTTCTATGTGAGTAAATTAATAGGAAATTTAAAAAAAACAAGAAAAGAATTAGGATTTAAGGTTCTATTTTGAATGCATTTATTCTTATTGCGTACTACATGTACTGTAATTGCATGATATTAAGATAAATGTCTGAAATTTGAAGGACAAGAAGAACTAGAAAGAAATGCCAAAAATACAGTTTGCATTGAATAGTTGTAAGCATGGAAAAATATTTCTCAGATGGGCTTGCTTTTGTTTTATTCATTGAATTGTTAAAATGTGCAATTAGTATAATATTCTTTTTCAGAATATAATACTAACCAGTAATTCAATAGGACTTTATAAATTGTATTTTTAAGACAATATTTGATTAGGAATCAGCTTTGGTAAAGAAGTAAGTGAGCAAATGTATAGCTTTAGAGAATTGTGGATGGTATCATAGGTATGGGAGGAAGTGGGGGCAAATGATGAAATATGTATTGTGCTATTGTGATGCAAACTCAGCCCTGTGTATATATATATATGTAATAATGTAATGCAAGTTTGAAAGGGCATATTTTGCATCATAAAGCCAGGTTAATGTTTTGTTTTTCTGGTATCTTATAGTTTTTAGGACAGATGACAGTGGAGCCTCCTGGTAAGTAGGATAATTTTCTACACTTCCTTATAGGTCTTTAAGGATTTAAATCTGTAGTTTGTGCTGTTAAATATCAATATGCATATATTTGTCATGTATCTTTAACAAATGAATACTCTTATAATTTCCTATTAATTTACTCACATAGAAATATTTTGCAAGAGGTACATGCACTTTATTCATATTTAATTAAAACTCTGTAAAGATTGTTTAACATTTTTCTTTTTTGAAATCCAGTGTGACAATAAGATGAGGATAATATCTAACAATAAAAAGACGTCTTTATTCAGAAACATCCATGCGTTCCAAAGAGCAAAAATGTATTTGTAAATCATCCAAAGTAAAAGGAGGCAGCTAATTCTCTTCAATGAAGAGATTTGTAGAGCAGATCTGTTGTAAGATAAGGAAAATGCCTCTTATTGTAAAAGAAAATTATCACAAGGGATTACATAAAGCTTAAAAGCAAGCTAGAGCTTCCAAAGGATAAGTGATTAAAGAGAAAATGGCAGCCTGCAGCCAGCTCACGAAGAAAGCTAAGATGGTTATTTCTGTAAGGGGCTAGTCACCCCTGATCTTTTCAAATTGTCTGCAGATCTCTGCAGATGCAAGAGACACATCCTCAGCATATGATTATGACTTTTTCCAGAATTTTAAGATTTGTGCAGGAAGCCATGTGAAATAAGGGGAAGTGGCAGCTAATGAGAGACTTTTCGTGATGGTCTCTCACTTGGAAAATGTTTTTGGCAGTGAAGGGAATTTTTGTATATAGACAATAAGCTTAAGACCTTTGTCTGTTGTCATTGCTGTACTGGTTGTGTATGACTGGCATGGAATGATTTCTCAGCTGGTACATTAATCAGAATAAATTTGTGCTGTGTAGAATATACTAAGTTTGAATAGCCACCTGTTTAAATAGTCATGGCCAGTAAATTGTTATTTTTGACCAGGTATACAAGTGTTAAGACCTTGCACAAGGAAATACAGATACTGGATTATGATATTCCATGTCAACCATGTCTGAATCAGTCATTGAAAAGTCTGATCTACCATTTTTAATAAAAACTTCAAAATCATTCAGAATTGGACTATATTCTTATAGGCAGGTTAATTCTATTTCATTCACTTAAAAATAATAGAAGATTGACTCTGATTTTGCCTTATGAATCTGCTTATCACATTCATTCATTCATTCTGACTAGCTGGTCAGTGGAGTACCTTGCTATTAGTGAGAGAGAATTTTGTTTGATTCAACTTACAGATTGACCATCCGCCCTCCGAAATATCCTTCTGGGACCTGTTCTCTGCTATAAGGTCTTGACTGCGAAACTGGTACATAAAGGTGTACATACTTGCTAACCTTCCCTAAAAATTTGGTGATTTTCCTGGTCAGGGTTAATGAAACCCTGGATAAGATACATAACCGTACTATATGTTCTTAGGTGCTCATCTTCCAGTTTCTCCCCTGAGTTCCCTTTTCCCAGGACTCTCTGTTCCAGCTCCTCAATGCCAGTCATGCCCTTGCTGCTTAAAAGAGCTTCGATGTTTTAGAAGCAGGGTGCTTCTTACGTATCTTCATTTATGATGAAGAAAACAAAGATAAAAATGTTGGCTTTGAATATGGAGTGAACACTTAACAGAGGAGACTCAGAAAGCAACACCCCCACCCCTTCCCTGTACAGCCTGGTTACACATTCAGGGAACAATGGGATCTGAAGCCCATACATGCAGGGCAGCTTGTTTGGGTTTAATTCCATTCTAGCAGACATTGTGCCTTGTATCCCATCCATGGAATGTCCTACTGAGAGAATACAGTTGAAATATTGCGGTCCTTTTCTTTTTCTTAGGTAAAATGCATGTTAGCTCAAGGCAAATTATTCACGATTAATATTTTGTATTGTGTCCTGTATACATTTTGCCTTGAGTTTTTTTTAAATGGAAAAGAGTAAATAAAATATTATGAGAAACACATTTTCATATACCAAGTAAAATTATTGGTTGGTAGATCTTTTTGAGTAAACCTTTCCATTAAAAGGATCTGCTTGTATTAAAAACTATAGCTTCTCTCTTTCCTTCCAGCTATTGCACCTTTCCCAACCCTGTGATTTCTGGAATTTGAAATTACATTTTGTCAGTATCTCCCTTTATTTATCAATAGTTATTATACTGATGTAGCATGTAGCTCTAGATAAAAAATGGTTATTGACAGAAAGGTCAGCAGACAGATTTTTAAAATGTTATGTATTAGAGAAAATTATGATTTAGTTCTTTCATTTTCCACCTTTGATTAATACTGAAAATAAAAATGTAGTAGGATGAGCTGCCAGATTTAAAAACGGGTCAGCAATACTTCAGTTCCTTTTCATTTTTAACAGAAAGTATTATATTTTATTGTAATTATTTTTAATTATTTTAAGAATAATATGGTTGTACATTTGTAATGAAGTCAGTTCATGGCTGTTTTATTTAAGTTTAATTTCAAGGCATTAAATAAACTACATTTTAAGAATAAACATGTGACTTCATAAACGCTTTTAAACATACTTAGTTCTGAAGGTGCTTTGGATAAAATGAACTTCCTGACTACAGTATCAACCACCCAGAGGTTCCTGAGAGCAATCATTTTAATTTCCCGGAAGATCCCAAGATCTGGCATACAATCCTAGTCATGTGGCCTATTAAACTGGAGGCTCATAGGAAGAATCTGCTTGCCCTGGAGGCCTTCAGGCAGATGTCAGCATTGATGAGCTTTACTCACGCCACCCTTGAACACTAGTAAATAAATAACCAACATGATGTGTTTGATTTGAGACTTATGGCCTAGGTGAATTGTGCACAAAAGAAACAATTTTAAATATATATAAACCACGGGAATTGACAGAGTAATAAGCCATGAGAAGAGGGGCAAATTGGTTAGTTCTTTCTCTGCCTACTGGTTGCCAAATGTTTCCTTATATCGGGATCTCTAATACAACGATATGTTCCATCAATTCTTTTGCCTAAGATCAAATGTAAAGATGCTCACAGCTGTAATCTCTCCTTGAGTTTATACTGAAACATTCCTCTACCTCATACGGTACCTCTTCTTCTCATTGAAATGTAACTGGAACATGTTAAACCAGGATAAAATGAAACTTGGGTATTTTTTAGTTCAGCCTGTTGTGTGAACTCAATGATTTGTGAAAACTCCAAACTTTTTGTCAAAATTAGGGTTTAATGTGTAAACCCACCCACAGAATCATTTCCAGTATGGCAATGTACCCTTTGACGGGTTATTTTGTTTGCTTTTCTGGCAGGCTTCATCCTGCAGCAGATATGTAAGCTCTTTCTTCACGTTCTCTAAAACAAATTAACATATTTTTCTTTTTGTGAAATGCCAAACATGATTCATTTGAGTCATTATGTCTGGAGATGTTACTATTTTATAGTAATCATTTCATACAAGCCTTCTCTTTAGAAATCATACTGCTTTGATTTAATCCACAAATGAGATTCCAACATATGGTACATGGACATTTTCCAACTCTTCTCAATTGCACATATTATAGGAATTGATGGGAATATTATATTTTTTTCTTTACAACTATTACTTCTCAAAAGCCAAAAATATTTTTTTTAAAAAAATCATTCAGTCAGTTCGTTCTATAACATATAATTTCATAATTTTGGATCTCTTGTTTTCCTGCTCAACTCAAAAAGAATGTGTTTCTACTCAAACCTACACAATACAGGAATCATATAGTGACATGAAAAAGAAAGCACCCTGCTAATACAATGAAATAGAGAACATTTCTATTAGCAACATCATGTTACATCTGGAAAATCATGGTTTGTAGTGGACTTTTTTCTTTCCATTAGCAAATAAAACTGATTTACAGTTTACAGTATAGTTGGATGGAAATTCAAATGCACACAAGTATTAGGTGTTACGTTTTTATGTATACCAGAATTCCTCAGTCTGGCACTCAAATTGTCTCCAGTAATTTCAAGAGGCAAAGTTCTGTAATTTCACTGCAGCAAAATGAAAATGTATTGTAGCACTGTAAAGACAAAATTTGTTGTGACATAAGCTTTTGTAGAATAGTTTTCATCAGCTGCTCTGAATATTACCCTGAACTATAGATAGAGACAGACAGACAGACAGACAGACAGCAAATAGTAAGATTAGAGAGAATATAAAAAATACAAATCTGATTGATGGGAATTCTATCCTATAATAGTTTATCTCCTAATAAATGTTTTTAGAATACTTACAAGACTTTACTGTTATAGTAATAGAGTAGTCTTAGCAACTTAACATGTTATCGTCCTAGAGTAAGCCTGTTCAAAGCTACTCTCCTAAACTCTTTTTATTTTAAAAAGTAAAATTATGAGGAAATCCATATATTTTCCCAACTCTGAGATGTAGGGCACTTAAACTGACAATGAGCACTGGCTGCTTCTTATGTCCACACAGGCTACAGCAAGCTGTGAATGTAGATGGAATCCCTCACTTCCCAGCTGTTCAACTTGCTGTAAACAAACTGTAAAAGCTTCCATTTTTGGAGTTAACTCTTGGGAAGCAGCTGTTTGGAAGTTGTAAGTTGTTTTAAAAAATGAGCAAATCTACTGCCATGTTTGATTCAAGATGATATATTATATTCTGAATAAAAATATAAAATAATCTTATATAATCAACTTTAAGAAATCGATAATTTATTCATTTTGGTCTAAGTCAGAAAAATATGTGGGAAAGTATGAATGCATATGAAATTATTTTTTTAAACTGAAAAAAGTAATTTTTTATACTGATGTCAGGACTATGATTCATTTGTTCCTATATTGAAACTTTTTTTCAGATTTGCTACTGTCCGATATTCTGAAAGAAAGTACAATTAAAAAATAAATTAAGAACAGTTTTTATATCAAAAGAATTTCAATGCTGGCATTGTTTAATTAAAGAAAGCAGCTTCTTTCTCCAAGAGTAAATCAGCTATTGGCACTGGATGGGAAACTGAGCAGTTGGATGAGGTCACTGGGCCTAGCCAAAGCCCCTGATGAGCTACACACTTTCCACACTGTATCTATATGGAAGAAGAACAATTTGGAAGTTAAGGCAACCCCACCAAAAAGGATTTTTAAAAATAAGTATAAAGAAACAAAATTCTGTGCAATGGTAAGTTCCATGTCTATTGAGATTCTCAGGCATCCAGATCATGGTTGTCCCAAAGGTGCTTTTTTCAAGAGGCAACTGGACTTTCTTTGTTTTTCCTTGAGGACGTTTCACTTCTCATTCAAGAAGCTTCTTAGATGAGAAGCAAAACATTCTCAAGGAAAAATAAGAAACTCAGGTTGCCTCTTGAAAAAACACTTTTGAGACAATGGTCAGTTTCCCACCTCCTTAATCAAGGGTTGCCAATTCCATTTGAAATTAGTTTCCTCCCCAATGTTCTGCTGACATGTATCTATATTTTTCAAAATCCACTTTTCATAAAAAAAGAAGAGGAAAAAATTCACTGAATTAATTACTGATTAGAATTAACTGCTTATAAAAACAAATCAGGCTTGTGCTCCCACTCTATAAATTAACCTTTCTTTCTCTTACACACCAACTACTCCTGCAAAAACATACAAACTTTTCTGTTCCTCCTTCTAGCAGCAGCAGGAAAGAAGAAAATTAGGTGGAAATGGAATAAACAGAAGGGGAAACTGTATTGGGAGGGAATGAAAACTGGGAGATCAGTGCTGACAGGAAATAAGCAGAGAAGAAAGTAACTTGACAGGGGAAAAAAAGAAAGTACCGTATTTTCCGGCGTATAAGACGACTTTCTAAACCATGCAAATCTTCTCCGAAGTCGGGGGTCGTCTTATACACCGAGTCGTCTTATACACCAGAAAATACCGTATTTTCTGGCGTATAAGACGACTTTCTAACCATACAAATCTTCTCCGAAGTTGGAGGTAGTCTTATACGCCAAGTCATCTTATACGCCGGAAAATACGGTATGTTAAGGTATTACAAAAAGGATTAAATTTACCAGGCAATCTTGCTCTTCCAAGCAAGAATTAATTACAGGTAATCCTCACTTAACAACCACAATTGGGCCCGGAATTTGGGTCATAAATCATTGTTACATGGGCCACCACGTAACCTGACTCAATTTTACTACTGTTTTATAATGGTTGTAAAGCAAGTCACCACAGTTATTAAATGAAACATGTGGTTAAGTGGAGACTGCCTGCTGCTCTAAAGATCAAAGCATCTATAATGTCCAGAAAAAAATATCTGCCGATTCCTTTGGTTTTAACAACTATTCCTAACATGAGAATCTCTGAGTGACATTCTTGCTTTCCCCTAGCAATATCTCTTTCCAGAAACAAAATCCTTTTTTTGATTTGAGAGAAAACTCTGCCAGCTTATTTTATATATTCTCAAGAGAAATCAGATGGCTTGCTATATTTGACAGTGTGGTAGAGTGAGGTATGGTATAGCATTATAGTGTTAGACTAGGACCATAGAAATCAGATTCAAGTCCATCCTCATCTGTAGAAGTCACCATATGATTTTGGGCCATTTCCATTCCCTCACAGGTTTATTGTTTGGGAGAAAAAAATAGGAGTAGGGAAAACCGTCTTAAGTTGCTGTACAAAAGATGGGATCAAATCAAATCAGTATATCAATCTCTCCCTTAACTCTTGAAGAAGAAACTATAAAATACAGGACTACTAGTGGAACTGCTTAGCTTCTGCAAATGAATTGTATAAGTCATCTTCAAACTTATGCCATGCAATATCAGAATCCATAGAATGATACATTTGGAAGGGATACTGCATTCACTATTCAATTCAGATTAATGCAAAACATACATTCAAAATGCAGCTATTCCTAACTGATATTTGTTTAACTTCTGCTTAAGTGTATTTAATAGTGGAGATTCCACTATTTCCTAAGTTGCTTGTACTGTTGTCAAGCAATTAATACTTTAGGAGGTTTTCCCTTAATCTTCTATTCTTCAGTCTGAAACTCCTTCTGCATATTCTTGCTGGATGTAATTTAGATTTTTTTAATCAAAACCCATGTTTTAATTCTGTATCTGAACAAGAAAATCTATGTAGCTTAGAACACGGAAATAGCAAAGAGAATTTGATTTCGTGTCTATTACACTTCAGCTAAAAGCAACTTTTTCATACATCACACACTGAAGTAGTACATAAAGATTTGGGTACAGAAATACATAAGATACCATATTTTAGACAGATATTTGTTCAGCAACTGTTCAAAGTTATAATGGCACTGAAAAAAAATGGACTTACAACCAGTTCTCAGAGTTCTGGCTGATGACCCTCACTGATGACCCTCACAGCACCTCCTCGTCACATTCTGCCCTGCACAAACTGCCTCCACTTTTAACTCTATCCACCCACTTCTGCCCCTCACTGTCACCTCCAAGCCTAGTGCCTGGAGTCTCCGTGCTGAGGGGCTTGAGGTTATCCTGAATTGGCAGCCCCAGTGAGGGGAAGCAAGGTGATTCTGAGGAAGAAGAAATCAGTGCTAAGGAAGCCTGGAAAGAAGGTCTGCTGGGGATGGTGGAAGCAGCAGATGTAGATAGTGGTGGCAGAATACAACTGTGTCTTTATCTTGGCCTGACTGCATCAGGCAGCCAAAAAGGCAGAGTTGGGAGGGAAATACCAGTAGGTGGGTGGGAGGGATTGAAGTGGAGGCAGTTTGCACATGGCAGATGTTAGTTGGCCTCTTTTGGCTCAGTGATCCTCTGAAAGCATCCCTTGACTTGGAAGAACTAAGGCTTAGGGCTAGTAGGGACCAAGCTGGGAATGGCTTGGATTGGGGTGGGAGTTGCAGAAGATGGGTGAGGTGATTGCCATTTGCAATCTTCCTAACCAGTTTTGACAAACAAAGTCCATGGAGAAGACAGCAGGAGATTATAAACTGAAATCATGCGAGGTCCTTGCCTAACAACTGGAACTGGGATTATTGGAATTTCCCTCACTAAACGGCATGGTCACATTTTGTTTTAAGGACTGCTTTGCTTAGCAATGGAAATTCCAGTCCAAATATAACCCGAGGACTACCCATAGTAGCTAAAATGTTAGACCAAAACAAGAGGTATTGAGTTTCAATATCCTGCTTTCTCAGAAAGCTTCCTGAGTAATGTCAAGTCAATAATGATATTTCAGTATAATCTTCCCATAAGATTGTTATAAGTATAAATGAAAGAATCATGATTGCTATGTTGAATTATTTGGAGGCATAGAGACATAAAGCAGATAAGATAACTAACAAACTGGCAAACTACAGTACCACTCTTAGTTGTCAGAAGAGAGCTGCTGAAATCATTAACATGGATGAAATAAACTTACATTATTTAGCAAGGATGATCTATGAGGTCCCATGACTTGGAAAGTTACCCAATGTACTTTTGGCTTGCCTCATGGCTAATTCAGCATGAATGCTCCGAGAACTACACAATCCCGGGGCTGTGTTCTTTGGTTTCCTACCTGAAAATTAAACTGCATAATTGGTATTCTCCAAATTTTGGTATTTTTTAATTAGTTAAGGTAAACAAGAGAAAAATGAATTGAAGTGAAAAAACAGAAGTGAATTATAAACCGCTTACTTCAAGATAAACAGTTACAGATTTGCACAATTATTTTCCCACCTCTGTTCTCTCATAGAACAGCCCTTTCTTAGGACTACTATAATTTGGATGACCACTAGTGGCAGCAAAGAACTTTAGGTATCTTTGTTGCTATTTCACAATCATCCACCTTTGTGCAACCAGATATGACAGTTCCAATTGCCATGCCAAGCCTTTTTTTTTAGTTCCGTTTAATCAGGTATTGACGCCTAGTGACTGCCTGGACTAGTCCCTGTAATTTTCTTGGCAAGATTTCAGAAGTGGTTTAGCACTGCCTGCTTCCTAGGGCTGAGAGAGTGACTAGCCCAAGGTATCCAGCTTTGTGTCTAAGCAGGACTAGAACTTAGAATTTCCTAATTTTTAGCTTGGTGCCTTAACCACTATATCAAACTGACTCTTTCCATTCCATTAGTCTTCTTTTTAAGTCATATGCCCAGAGACGATACTTTTTAAAGCTGTGTTATCATAAAGTACTTGGTTCTTGATATTAATTCAATATAATTTTTGTTTATCTAATCATTTTATTTAGAAAGCTGTCTGGACTGCAAAATGATTCTGGGCAGCTTTCATAATTAAAAGAGGGGAAAAAACCCAACAGAACAAAAAACATATAGTTAATGTGTTAAATGAAGGAAATTATTATTATGTCTAAATGTGCTAAAATGTAACATTTTGAGGCAGGCAAGCAACTGAATTCAGATCAGGGACAACAGAGGATTGGAGGAATATGTGCTCTTGTCTCACCCATAGAAGATTCATATGTACAAGACTGTACATGTGCAAAGCTGTCCTTGCAACTATAGCCCTTGGACGGGTGTACTTGCTTTTGTTAACTCTTCTGCCCTGATGATTGAGCTCTGAAATTAGGGAAATTAGGTTCCCATTCCAGGCAGCTCCTGCTTCAATCCTCAAACAATCAAATTGACCATCTCATAATTCCATTGCACAGTCCAGAGCTATCCAACACCACCACAGTGATTTGCCCAAATCCATGAGAAATCATTGACAGGAACCAACATTTTTGACACACAGCAAAAAAAATCAGCATAGCAGTTCACTTATACTTACTTTTGTTAGCCTCGCTTCCATTCACTTCATCAATAGTATAGGGAAAACCAAAGTCAGTCACATATGCATGGGTAATTGTTCCTGGAAGACTCATATTGGCAATCTTCAAGGGACATGCTTTGGAGAAAGAAGATAACAGCCCAGGAAATCCACACTCTATTGGAGAATTGGCTGAAGGAAGAACCTATATGGGAAAATAAGAAGCAATAACGTATAATCTCCTAGTCTTGAATATGCTATAAAAAATTAATGCTGTAGGCTTGAACATTCTGCTTTACAAGAGAGGGACCCCAAACAATTGAAAAAGATTTGACTAGATGTTGAGGAATACAAGCCAGGAAATCCTAGGGATCTGATTTGCTGGCCAATATGCAGGAGCTAGGCAGGTCCTTATCAATGTATCTGGGGTTAGTTTGATTGTTAGGCAAAGTGGCTCTTTCAAGAGGGAAGCAGAGCTGGGGAAGCCCACTGTTAAAGGAGATGGAATGTTGAGATTATCAACTGATGGATGATAGAATCTTGGAGTTTCTCTAGGTTGCAATTTCCTTGTAAGGGTTGCCCTTGAGCTATACTGTAAGCTGGTAAGAAGGCTTATATTCTTTGGTTTAGATAGGATTGCAGGGGACTTTGGGGAGGGGGGGAGAACAGGATGTAGTCTCCATTTTGTTTATTAGGCTTATTTTCTTCACTACACTCAACTGAGAGTCAGTTTGGTCTAGTCGTTAAAGCACCATGCTAGAAACTTGGTAATTGTGAGTTCTAGTACCACCTTTGAAGTTGAAACTCAAATACTTTGGCCACCTAATGAGAAGGAAGGACTCACTGGAGAAGGGCCTAATGCTGGGAAAGATTGAAGGCAATAGAAGAAGGGGACGACAGAGAATGAGATGGCTGAATGGAGTCAATGAAGCAGTAGGTGTGAACTTAAATGGACTCCAGAAGATGGTAGAGGACAGGAAGAGCTGGAGGAACGTTGTCCATGGGGTCGCGATGGGTCGGACACGACTTCGCAATTAACAACAACAACAAGTACCACCTTAGGCATGAAACCGGATAAGTGATCTCGGGCCAGTCATTCTCTCTCAGGAGGCAGCAATGGTAAAGCACTTCTGAAATCTCGCTAAGAAAACTGCAAGAACTTGCCCAGGCAGTCACCAGGAATTAAAAAATCCATCTTGTTGAAGTCTATTTAATTCTTATTTTGTCAGTGATTTCTCAAACAATGAATCTGTCCAACTGTGTCTGTCTGCAGTGCAATACAGTGGCAACCGTAATATAATCTCTCAACTATTCAGGGCTATTCACTTTGTTTTGTGCCAAAATGATTTGTTATGTCAATTGAGAGTGTGCATGGTTGTGCATTCCAAGAATAAGCAGAGAAAACTGACATTCAGGGAGGGAGATGGGTGGTTAAGTGTGAAAAATAAATGAATAAATCAATCAATGAATGAATAAAAATGCAAATATTAATCTTGTCAGGGACGTCTTTCATAGTGAAGTCCAAGAACACAGCACTACTAATTGTTACTTCTCAACCAGAACTATATATTATTTTTAGGATAGATGCAGAGGAGCCTTCTTAGTGATGGTCTCTATTTTATAAAGTTATCTATCAAACCCCTATGGATATTCTTTTACAACCTTTTTTTAAAAAGTACATTGCATTTATTCCAATAAGCTTTTAAGTATTATTAAAATCAGATGTTATTGTTTTGTGTGCCATTGTATATTTCTGACTATTTGGGTGTTTTTTTTCAAGCAGCTGCTATTTAAGATTGACTTTTAATGCACAACAGTAAAAATAAACTCTTATTATTTTTAACAAATTTTCAAAAATCTGATCAGGCTCCCAGTTAATCCAATTTTTGAATTAACATTTTCTTATAGGATTTCACTGCCAGATCCGAGGACTGCAAGTTTGTTTCAGTGCTTACTGTAAAAAAAATGCACTTCCCATTTTTCTGATATTCTGCCCTAGATCTCAGTGCAGGTGTGTCCTCTTTCTGACAAATTCCCATACTTTTCTTTCTTCTGAGGTGGAGCATATGATATTTTATAATTGACGAGATCAGTTTAAAAGCCAACTCCACAATAGGTTATTAGACAATTTGAAAAAAGTATCTGTGTAAAAATAGATGAATTCCCTCTACTCCCTCAGTTACCTTCCGAACCAGGAACCAATTCCTAATTTATTTAAAATGGTGAATTTGCTGTAGTCTGTCTTTGGCAGTAGTCTTATGCAAGCAGATGGAAGCCCTGATTAGAGCAATAGTATTTCTGCTGGGGAGAGAGACTTATAAAGAAAAATAGAAAACTGGAATTTTAAGCCATCTAATTCAGTCTTGGTTAACCTGATTGGCATTTGCTCTCTTGATATTTCAGGCAAATGATGACTTTTGCAGCCTACCTGAAAATGGTTGGGGCAGAAGCTGGAATCTTCTACATTGAAAACATCCAGTTTATAACTGAGTTGTGGCACCTTTCTTATAAACATTAACAAGCACTAATAGCTCAATTCTATGTTCTGACCCCAGTAGGTTTTGACAGTATTTCTTCTTCAGCTGACAGCAATTTCCCTTCAGTTTCAGCCCACTGCTTCATGCTCTATCTTGAACAACTGAATAAGAGAATTTTCCCCTTCTCTCACTGAAAACCTTTAAAAGATTTTTTTAAAATCTGAAAATTCTGCTAGAGGTGGGGTATGCCTACATCTGATAAAATGGATGAAAAAGGAGCATGCAAAGAACGATTTGATTCAAGATGGGGAACTGAGGAACCTGCTGGGACTCAAATGGAGGATATCCTTGTGACACCAGCCTGTAAGTAGAGCAGTCTGAAAATGGCAAGTGATGCCCTTTGAAATAATGCTTCCCCTTTTGCCACCCCATTCTTATTTCTCTAAGAAGTAGACTTTTCATTTTACAAAAGGAACCCACAACCATAACTTGAATCCATGTATGTTATTTGTCCCCAGCAGAAGAAAACACTTGAGATTAGCTAACCATAAAATCGAGCGAAATGAATTGGGGAATTATTAAATAAATGTAATCATCTTCTTTCTTCTTTCTTTTCTTCTTTCTTCTTTTTCTTCTTCTTCTTCTTCTTCTCCTTCTCCTCCTCCTCCTTCTTCGTGTTTTCCCGCAAATGCAGGGTTTGCCTGTTTTGGTTGTGATAGGAATTGATTACTGCTTTGTTACCAGAGCCTGATATCATGAGAGAGAGTAACTGGCCCTAAGTCACCCAGCTGACATTTATGCCTAAGGCAAGACTAGAACTTACAGTCTCCTGGTTTCTAGCCTGGTACCTTAACCACTAGACCAAACTAGCTCTCATTCTTTTAAACTATTTATTAAAATATTTTTGCTTCCATAGGAAACCTCCAACAGTTAAATAGTCTTCTTTGGGTTTCAAGTACCTGGCCCACAAATAAAACTGATATTATATAAGGGGCTAATTTAGTTGCTTTTCTCCATATGAAATTTCATTTGATATTTCATGCCAAAACCAAATTATTTTAAAGGAAAGAATAAGATTGTTCTTCTTAATTTTCTACAGCCTCTCAGGGAAAAATAACTTGAGTGTCACAAAGAATATTGAGAAACTATTGTTCAGTTCTATTACAGGTGAGTAGATGATTTTCATTCAAACTTTTTGAAAAACAGAATATCCCACTAATAAGTGGGAAGCCTTTGCATTCTATTCCTAGCTGCACTAATATTATATTATAATTTATTTTTAAGTGATTTCCAATTTATAAAACACACTTTGGTTTAGAATTAGAGCATTTATTGCAAAATGTGTGAGAAATAAATTTAATAATAATAACAAATTTATTTATAGGAGGCAATAATTGAGTTAACAAGTATCGTTATCTTCAATTGACAAAACCATACTTTTGGGGCATTAACTAGTGAGGAATTGCAGCATAGAGAAACAGGTCTCACTTCTTAGAAAGATGGCATAAAGTTTCCTTGCTATGGCATGTATGTAAGAGTGGAGCTTAAGACATCACAAATCAAGGCTGTCAAAGGCCCTGTTTATAAAAGCTGTATCCTTTTCTCTATAGCAATTTGAAATACTAAATAAATATTCAAACTTAGATGATTCATATTATGTTCCAAGGAGAAAAAAATCTGCAGTTTAAGAGTCAAGATGCAAAAATAAAACGTTTTGCCAATTTTCAAATTAATTCTTCTTTTAATAATAGAAACTGTATGGTGCTACTAAGATACGAGATGTTCATTTCCACTGAAAATTTTACTAGTCTTGTTCAATTGGGGATTATAAACACACTTTCCCTTGTATTACTGAAAATGTAAAACCTGGCTCATAAAAAAGGAAAGGATACTAAGTCTCCAGGATATTGAGGCACCTGTCATATACATGCTCTCATTTCAGACAATACCCAAACCCTCAGAGCTAGTTTTATAATGGGCTGTGATGGTCCTCACAAAGCCAACATGAGAATTTAGTATGAGCTCTCTAGAACAAATCAGTATTCCTTTTAGCTGATTAGTAAAGATATGTCTAAAGTGGCTTCTGAACAAGGCACTAAGACTATCCCCATCTCTACCCTTTCCCTGTGCAATGTATGTTTCTATAGCAGAAAAGTGGAAAAAACGCAGCTCACTAGCTGCAAAGCTGCCCTGAAGTCCATTGTGCATTGGTTACTATGTCAGCAGCTGTGGGAAAAACAGAGCAAGAAACCAGGGGCAGAGACTTGTGGAAATTCTTACAAGTAAGGAAGTGGCCCAACCACAAGCCTAGTGAAACTCCATCGTAAGTTGCAACACAAAAAGCTTGCAGTTTGAACTGTGCCGGAGATACAGCATAAGTCAATCATGGCATGGAATCACAAGGGCATGGCTCTGATCAGGAAGTAATATTAAAGTCCCTATAGAAGTTCCATAATTATAGATATCATCAAGGTCCATAATTAAGCAGAGTCATGACATGTATAATTCATAAGTGCTTTAATAAATTTACATTCTATCTTTTTTCCATGATGCCACTCAAGATGGCACCCATCCACAGAATTTCCAGATGGTCTCTGATCCAGATAATGATGAGGTCAAGGACAACTGACTTTCAGTGGACCAAGAACCCTTACAAATTATAATTCACCAAACTTTTGCTGGTGTTAGGCTACCTGTATAGACAGTGCACATAATTATGGACTAAAAATGTAATTGGAACACAAACACTTCTTGATTTATTTACTGGAAAAAATCAGGTGTGGTTAAACCCAGGCTATGATATATACACATTTTTATAAACAAGATTTCAGATCCAGGGTAAAATTTGGACATAAAAAGTGGTAAGTTTATCGCAAGATAAAACAGAGGCTATTAGATGGTTGTATGACAGTTTACTCATGCACTCTCTACACGCTTTTCTGCCATTTTGTGAATTTGTTTTATTTTAAACTGGTTTTGACATTTTTATGTATTCTGTTTTATTATGTATGCTGTATAGAGTCAATATGTGAGATGGGTAGCTATAAAATGTGATATGATAGGTAAATAGATAAACAAACAACAAGTTACATCTTTGCTACCCAATCCTCACCCATTCTTAACTTACATCCCATTCCCTTGCTTTTTAATTCTCTTCAGCAATTATGTCTGTTGGAAATCATTCCCTGTTTTTATTTGCTATCTGTGAATTAAGCACAGCAGGACTCACTTGGTTGCCTCTGGGTGACAAGGTACCATCAAGTATGGATTCCTTCAAAATAAAAGTGAGTCACAAGTGATACATTCAAAGTCATTTAGTGCTTCAGGAAAGTAAAATGGAATAAGCTGACCTTGCCAGCCTCATCAGAAAATCTTATTTCAGGTCAATGAACATATAATGATGATCATTTCTGAGCAGGTAACAGGGACCCAGGGGGTAACAATAATCTTTGGAGTAAGATAGCTTAAGATAGCAGTATTGTTAAATAGACAATTGCAACTCTTATTTCCAAACTGTCATGATGCCAGTTTTAAACTCTTGATGAAACATGGCAACCCACATGCTGTGTGTCAAAAGTATGCTGAATTATGAAGAAGGATGGAAGGAAGGAAAGAAGGAAGGGGAATAGACCTTTCTAAAGGCAGTATTAAACAGGCAGAATCAAATCTGGTTCATCCTTCCCAAAATAGTAACAGCCCAAACCAAACTTAATTATAATAACCATGCTTTACTTGCTGTTCTAGTAAATGGAATTCAGCTCTTGCCCTCTCTTCTGGGCTAACTGTTATGCCATCCAAAACCTGAAGGTTAGGTAAGCGAAATATAAGGAGGGGGCGGTGACAAATCTTACGTGATACCTAAGAAAGGAAGAGAAATGCAAAAGATTAACCCAGCACTAAAGCATTAGGTTCTCCATATCCACATCCTTTCCAAAGGTTTCAGTCAATTCCTTGACTTAATTGAAAGTGAAGACAGATATAACAAAATTAACACTTCTAACATTAGCACAAGGTAGTCAGATGTAACATACTTGAAAAGGGAATCTATTTTTAGAACTTTAAAAGATAAGCATGCAGTCCTTATAAGGACAACAATAATAAAAATCACATTTTAAATGTGTTATACAGCAGTTCTTATTTCGAAAGAGAAGCTATATTGGTAAAGAGAGTAATGATGAGCACTAAATCCCCTTAGTACTAGTGAAGCATATACAATTCAATGTTATGTTCAGCAGGAAGGCAATTAGAAAAGAGAGAGAATATGACAAAACGGCCACTTTTATTTTGCACCAAATATATTCCTCAAAAATTTTAAAATAAAATTAGACAACTCTCAGAGCTTATTTTTGCCTCAGCCTCAACCTACTGAAATCAGTGTAAATGTACAGCTGAATACAGCAATCAAGCAGTAATAAGAATTATTGGGGCTGTGAATGCTTCAGATTCAATTCCACAAACATGCTTTGAAGCACGGAGTACATGAATGTAGGATTTCTTTGCAATTTCTTAAAGTAACAGCTTCTGGGATCAAACAAAGAATAAATAAATTCTAGTCCTCATTCTCTCTGAAATCTGACTTCAAGTTCTGCAAGAGTATACAGTATATTACTCTTTGAGAATAATTCAACTTCGAGAGTAATTCAATCTGAATGAATCCATAAAGTGGCTAACCTAAAACCTATACAAAAAGTTTAACAATAAAAAGTTTAAATCAATTTTAAAAGATACTGAAATAATCACATTTCAAAGTAGAACATTAAAACAGAGAAAATAGTGAAAAAGAACTTCAGAATCACAGAATATAAAACAACATTAAGTAAAAAATAAAGCAATAATCAGAAATCTGCTGGATGTAAACATATTAATGTTCCTGGGCAGTGAAGCATCATTCTCTTCAGTTCTGACACTTGGAGATTATTATAGGTAGTCCTCGACTTACAACCACAATTGGTCCCAAAATTTCTGCTGGTAAGACAGACAGATGTTAAGAGAGTTTTGCCCCATTTTACTACTTTTCTTGCTACAGTTGTTAAGTGAATCGCTGCAGGTGTTAGTAACACGGTTGTTAAGTGAATCTGGCTTTCCCATTGATTTGGCATGTCAGAAGGTCGCAAAAGGAGATCACATGATCTGGGACACTGCAAATATCAGTCAGCTGCCAAGCGTCTGAATTTTGATCCTGGGGATGCTGCAACGATTGTAAGTGTGAAAAATGGTCATAAGTGACTTTTTTCGGTACAGTTGTAACTTTGAACAGTTGCTAAATGAACTGTTGTAAGTCGAGGACTCCCTGTACAGTTTTGCCTTCTTGCATTCAACTCATTTACATGGTTTCCCAAGAACGTATTGACTCTCTATTTATGAAACCTATAAACATATTCAGATATTGCGTTTAATACCTTGAGTAAATTTGTAACAGTTTATGGCAAGTGAGTAGACACTGAAAGCTGCTTTATTCTTAATGCAGCAGGCAACACAGCATTTTCTAAATAGATTAGGAATACTTAGAGGAATGAAACAAAGGGAACAATAAACTTAAGTGATATAACTGTGCAAAATAGTATGCTCACTGGATTTCCGTATATTGAAAGTTCTTTAATACAAGGAAGATATTCAAGTTTTTCAAGTTCGACCAAATCCTGCCAAAATAAAAAAACAAAAACAATTTTGTTCAAGTAGTTTTTACAGATAATCCTGATTTAATGACCATTGAGTGATCATGGTGGACCACCTGCGCAGCCTCCCCCAGCAGAGCCACATTTATACCACACCTTGTGTGCCACTTACACATTCTCCTCTGCCTGCTAGCAACTATTGCCAGCCCTGTTTTACCTGCCTGATGGCCTGCTTGCAAGCCATCTGAGACCCGCTTAACAACCTGCATTCCTCACTTAATGACAACAGTGGGGATTGCCAGAATTGCCATCACTAACTGATGGTTACACGATATGGTGTTTTAATAATGCATCACTTAGCAATGGAATTTCTGGTTCTAATTACCCTTGTTAACCAAATACTGTATAGATTTTCTGTAAAAATATATCCACAAAGTCACACAACATAGCATATGGGTATATGCATACTAGAGAAGCAATGTACTGAAAAAGATGCTTTAAGATACAACAACTCAACCAAAATAACAAAGAAACTCCAGAAGTGCCAAAGATTTCTGTGCTATTTCCAAACAGTATTAGGGTCAAAAGAGGATATAGACAGGGGCCAGATGCAATTTGTGGGGCATCCATGTATCATCTTTTATCTAGAGTGCACTGGTTTTTTTTTTCTTTTTTGGCCTCAAATTCAAATTTCTGCTATAGTCCTTCCTGTCTTATGTTTTCCAGCTGACTCACTCTCCTTTGCAATAAAGGAATGAAGAAAACATCACTTTTTATATCAACTTTCTCCACTCTAATGCTCTCCAGATGTGTTGGGAGTATAGCTTCCGAAATTTCCACTCAGCTGATATGCTGGCCAAAAATACAAGGAACTACAGATTAAACCTATTTGGAAGACTTCGGGTTGGAAAGGCTGAGGTATGAGGCCTCCTGTACCTGAATTCTGTTGAGGCCGAGGAAAAGCTTCTGTAGTTTCACCAAGGGAAGCAAATTGTTGAGTTCACGCAGACGATTTTCCTCCAAGTGGAGAGCCAGCAAGGAGCTCTGTTTGGCAAAACAATTCTCACCGATAATTTTAATTTTGTTATGATCCAGCACCAATTCCTGCAAAATCTGCAGGCCTTCGAGTCCTTCAATGTGGCTGATTTCATTTCCTATTACACCAAAATCAAAAGTGGATAGGAAAAAAGATGCAATGGACAAGTAGAAATAATTAAAAGGACAAATATTTCAGAATAGTTATATCCTCTTCACCCAGCCAAAAACATACCGCTGAATATCAGGTCTTGGTAATGGATTCTTGCAACCTCCATTGATCATGGTACTTATGAAGTATCTCTGAATAAATGCAGGATTTATTTGATCTGCAATTGAGTCATGTTTATATTTTTCTGAAATATATTGGCTACATTATTTGCTTATTTCAGAGTTAGTGTGTCATATGAACTCAGCAGCTGATGGTTTATTATTATGCTGAATCCAGGTTATTGTAACAACTATGATATAATCAACAAACTATAGTTACAATACTGACTTAGTTAAATGTGTGAACAATACCCCAAGCTAATCAAGTTGCCTTTCCATGATGGAAAGTCCATGATGTCATGAGAACAGACAACATAGGGCAGACATGTCAAACTCGCGATGTCATGTGACGTCACGCAACATATCGGGCCGATTTTGCCACTGCCGACAATGGGGTGGGCGTGACTTCCACGTGACGCATCCGGCTCATGGGCCGGCAGTTTGACACCCCTGACATAGGGTATGATTTTAAACCCATGTATACAATATCCTTCCCTTCCCTTTTTCTTCAAGTCAGCAACTGCCTGGATAAGTCCCTGCAGTTTTTGGTAAGATTTTCTAAGTGGTTACCATTGCCTCCTTCCTAGGGCTGAAAGAGTGATTGGCCCAAGGTCATCCATCTGGCTTTGTGCCTAGGCTGCACTAGAATTCACGGTTTCCCAGTTTCTAGCTGGTGCCTTAACCCTACACCAAATTTGCTTTTTCTTTAATACTTAATACTAATTACTAAATTTAATATATTTTTTATTCTGTAATTTGAGTTTTTCCTATGTCATGTTAACTGTCCAGACTCTATATTACAAAGTGGGAGGCCACACAAATTTAATAAATGATTAGCCAACAAAGAAAGAAAGAAAATGGTATCTCCTTTGCATGTGGAAGCATACTGAATGTATATTTGCAGGTAGAACTGAAAAATTTTCCTAAGGCAAAGGCTACCAAACAGATAATATATTTTTTCACACTACTGAATAGAACCAGTTACACATGAAGTAGGAATTTCATAACTGCAACATCCTTTTTAAGGGCACAGGAAGATCAAGGCAGTAATGCATATTTAACATCCAGGTCTCTGCTTAAACTTCTTCAAATCAGCTATTAGCTCTGAGGGGAAGAAAATATGCTTTACCTCACAGAAAATAGCTTTTAAGAGATTCATACTGTGGAATCAGCACAAAGTATAAGAATTGTTCCTCCACTCATACCTCAATCCTAATAGAAAATCTACACATACACTAACGCTCTTCAGAACCTCTGTTGACAAAGGAAATACAGGAGATCCGGTTATAAAAACTCTGTATTACATTCAGTTGGATCAGAAGAGGTAGAACTTTTTCCAAAGTTACCTCCATTCACAGGTTTTACTTACGTTAATAAGTCTGCAAACTTATTTTTTTATCAGAGATAGCGTGGCATAAAATAAAACTAAGGCATTGGGGGAGAAGTATTTTCAGAATTTAGTATTAAAACCACCCATTTTCAATATTGTTTTTCTGAGAGGGTATTTCTAATTTCTCAAAAGGAGAAAGGGGGGCGATAGAGGCTTGTTTCCTATCCAACCTGTTTATGATATTATGTATAATAGCATTATAAAGGAACTTACCTGATAAAACACTTCATCTGGATTAGTGATGCAGGTTTTATGATATGGTGCCTATAAAGCATATAATTATTTGATCTAATGGTGATCCTCCTTAGGGATTACTGTTGGGAATCTCATTTTCTTTTGGTATTTGAAATATACTGTTGCAGTGCATAATGTTCTTCTTTAAAGTACCAGGCAGCCATGGTCTTTTTCAGGATATTTTACTCAAGGCACCACCCTATAATTATTTTACTTTGCTGCAAAAGGAAACTACAGATACATGATAATGATATTGAACTAACTGCTATTGTTACTTACCCTGTAAAAACAAAAACTTCAGATTCTTTAGCCTACTAATCTGTAACAAGACCAAATTTGTAATTCCATTATAGCCCAAATGGAGAACTTCTAAACTCTCCATTATTGGAGGCAAGCTTTCACTGACTCCTGCATCCCTAAAATAAAAACAGGAGTTTGAGTCAGAAAGAATAGCTTAGTAAAAACTGAATGTGGAAATAAAATTCTATGCTAGGCTTTTGAAATGTTATATGGGAAAGTACATCCAGTTATATAGTTGGAAACAAGGCAGCAATCTAAACATGAACTTTAAGCAATGATACTGAAATCCATTTTTTTTCCATAAGGAAATGGAAAAGAAAATGGGAATAGCTATAAATTATTTTTTAAGTTTTGTAAAAGGTTTATGATGATGATCTCTTAGCAATAAGTTGGCAATATCTCTAGCCATACGTTCTGGACTTTCTCCATTTTATTCCTGCCTTTTTTCAGTCTCACACCGGTTGAATATTTCTGAAAGATGCCGGTATAAAAGCTGTAGTTGACTTATGATGTCCTGGATATTAGCACATGCAATAAATGGAAAGACCAGCAATGAGTCCTGCAATAAGCTACCATGACTGATTTGAGTACTGGGCCAGGGTCAGTTGGTTTTCCTAGTCAACTAGAATAGCCATATCACAATTAAGAGTCTTTTCTTACCTAGCTTGGCTCTATGGAATCAGTCACCATTGAATTATGTCAGCCCTTCAAGGTAGATCAAATTAGGAATCTAATGTCATGTATGTCAGTACTACTTTTTCTATAAAGTTATAGTAACAGAACCTTGCAAGTTTGAATGCATACACACCCCTTTATCTACATGAGAAGTAGGGAAAGTTTTGTCTGAGAAATTTAATCAAGTTACATTCCTGCCCTGTATTCAGTTCTTTTTTATCTGACGATTGTCTTGATAGCAGCTCTTCCTCCTGCCCTCAAGGCCGTTCCTTCTACCCTCTCCAATTATGAGCATAAAATAGGAGTAAAACTGTTTCCTTAGGACCCTGATTAAATTGTTTCTTTTTAAAAAATATAATTGAATGTGCAGATGCTGAAGTTATTATATGTGATGGGTATTTTAGTTTCATTTTTTTTATTGTGATAGTATAATGTCCTGCAACACGTTATATAATATTGTATGATCTTATATTTGTATTGCACCTACTGTAATTATAATCACATACTAAATAACAAATAAAATCACCACCACCACCACTACTACTACTATAATTACGTCTTCCCATTTCATCAATAGATCATTGATCAGAAAACATATTCAAATATCTACAGATAGCAACAATTTTCCAGGCTTTTTTTTCAGGCAAATGAATTGCAGGTAAATATAAATAAATCAGAAATCACAGCAAAATCACATAGCAATGAACTAAATACTGGCTTGCGATATTACATTTACTTCTCTCAAGTAAGAATCTACTTAATGCTTTGTTTAAACATTAAGGAATACATTAAACATTGTTCAGTATGATTTATCAATTAATTAAAAAAGAAATCAATGAGACGTAGTAGTGGACTGTCAAGCCAGCAATAGAGTCAACAGTTGTGGCATCCTGCCACCCATGAAAATTTTAAGTCAATTAGCAATTTTCAAACTTTACTTAGGTGGCTTGAATTTGAAACACCCCATTCTGAGTTTGAAAAGCCATTTCTTATTCAAAACTGCTTCAATTAATGGGAAGTTTGGCTTATGCATTACCTACAGTAGATCTCATTTGAGGAAATATGTAAGATAAACTGCAAAATATTACTCAAGTTGTAGATGAAATTGAAGAAGTGTTCATGGGTGACAGTTAACCAATTCTATGCTCAGCAATTTCCTGTTACAAACTCACAACATGGTTTTTCTCTCAGAGTTGACCCTAGAGGGAAAATGCTTTACTTGGAGACTAGTTCCAGTTCCAGTTAGAGTTCACTTCTCTCCAAGTAACTGCCTCTTCTTTTTGTTACCGATATTAAGACTGTGTACCTGTTGCTTTTTGAAGCCCCTTGCTGTCCATATCCACTGGACATCACTTTCTGATGTAGCAACTGTCTGTTTGTTAAGTGATTGGAAGGCTTTTGTCTTGGGAGAATGGACTCAATGTGATTGTAATTGAGGCAGAGAACCTGCATGAAAAATGGAATTAATTCTACTCTGTTTAGATAATAAGCAGCAGGGCTAACAATTAACTACTGTATGTGGAGAGTACAAACGATAATAATGATGACTTATATTTCTGCCCTGATTAAACATGCAGTGGTTGCTTTAAAAACACCCTTCCCCAATTACCGGTAACATGCTAGCTGGGAAGAGCAGTTGATTCTACCTCATCTAAAGCATGCCAGGGAGAGAGGGCAAAGGATCCTCCTAGCACAAATATAAACATGCAAAAGTAACTAGCTAGCATGTGTGAGAAAATGCAACAATTTCATTACACAAGGGAAGATATGGGAAAAGAGAACACTCAGTTGATATAGGTGGGTATATGAATTCTCTACCAGCCTTGAGCTCCTTTAGTGACTGCTAATTATTTATAATGTCTATTGTTCTAAACTTAGAATAAAGATGTAGTTCTTAGCCATTGTGTCTTAAATTTCTTTGGGAGTTTTAGCCTAGTTTATTTCTGCCTTGGGAAACCTGATAGTTTTAATGTTCAGATAACCAAACCCTTTACAATCTTCATAGAATTTAGTTTTAGAATCCACCTCAGGATGATCAGTATTATGCTTTATAATGACAGAAATGACACAAACACACTTCTACCAGAGTGTCTGTGTAACAGATAAAATCTGTTATGTAGTAATGTGTCTCCATCATACAGAGTTTGGACTATCATATCTCCTTTTCTACAAAGCCCAAAGGACTTTGGAGAGTTTTATTGCTGAAGAGAATAAGGGATGGTCCTGTGAATGCGGCTGGTAGGGGAGTTCACTTGAGAACTCAAAATTAAAGCACTCTATTTTCACTATAGAAGGATAGAAAATCAATAAAATTAATTGTGCATACTATTTGTAGTTCAGGGAATCAATAATAAGATTATATTGTATTTTATTTTTCAATTTCATTTTCCAATGTATATATCACACAACAGTAGAAGTTTAATATTCTTGCTACCTAGAAAATTTTTCTAGTTGGGCATTCTGGTGTTTTAGGCAAAATAACTCATACACTATACTTTCTAGAAGGAACAGCTTGAACTGATCCAATTTTCAGAGACAGTCTTCATTTATTTTTTTAATATCTTTAATAAAATAATGAGTGAGACAGTTATGCAGAACATGAGAAGATTATATCTTCTTTTGTGCCATTTTGGTTGATCTCAATAAAAGTTTTATCAAACTATCACTTTGTAGTTTTTGCATAAACATATCCCACTGTAAATGTCTTTTCTACAATATCCTACTAACAATCCATTTTTCTGACATTTATAATTTTAGAAAGACTATTTTATCTATATTATCAGAATATTTTGCATTTCCTCTTGTTGGAATTTCAGCAAGCCAAAATATGACATTTTCATATATATATAAAACTTGGTCAAAATCTTTAAAATGCTAATAATGAATATACCAATAGTGGCTCTGAGAGGAATAAGGATGTTAAAATTTAACAGATGCAGATTTTTAGGAATTAGAAGTCACTTTATAATAGAATAACAGAGTTGGAAGGGACTTTGGAGGTCTTCTAGTCCAACCCCCTCCACAAGCCGGAGATCCTAGACCAGGGGTAGTCAACCTTGGCTCTTTTATGACTCGTGGACTTCAATTCCCAGAATTAGCTGGCTCAGGAATTCTGGGAGTTGAAGTCCACGAGTCATAAAAGAATCAAGGTTGACTACCCCTGCCCTAGACCATTCCAGACTGGCTGTTCAGTCTCTTCTTAAAAGCCTCCAGAGATGGAGCACCCACAACTTCTGAAGGCAATCACTGTGATGTTTAGAGTTCAGTTTGAAATTTCTCAGTCTGGTTTAGATGTTAGAAAAAAAAAAGCATTTTATGACTTAATATAAAATGTCACAAAACATTTCCTGTGATCAGCTTCTGATGTTTGATTGCACTATACAGTTCAACCAGAGTTAGTTTCAAGACAGAAACATTTCTGAATATCTCTCTGAATTTTTAAGAACTTTTAAAGTACATTAGAAATTCTGCCATTGTTGAAGGCATTAAGAAATCTGGTAAGGAAATATCTCTGAAATAATGATCCGAAGGGAGTCATTATTTGTCTGGTAATATTATCTGTCTGTCTGTTTCTCTGTCTGTCTAGGGATGCGGAGAAAGAAACTAATGACAATTCTCAATTCTATGATTATAAACAATCTGCTCAAGTAAAAGCCTTCCAAAGATGTAGAGAGATTCTCATGAGGGCATATTTGGATTAAAAACGGCCTGCTATTTATCATTGCCAGTAGTGAAAGAACCACCAAGCATTTGGGTTAACAACTGTTTAGCTTTAAATGGGAGGAGTGTCAAGGTAATGATTTAGAAGCTAACCAGCTGATGTAATGTAAGATGTATGATGTAATGATGGGAATGACTCAGCAGGGTCTATGTCCCTTTAAGAGACAGCTGGGTCTGTATCTCTTTAAGAGCTTTGTATAAAAGGGCTCCACAGATGTGTGCTCTCTCTTCTGTTTCCTGCTGTAACTGCTATGTGTTGGAGACTTCTGTATTAACATGTATATCTATATTGTTCCTGGTATGTGGTATTATAGACAGTGTAAGATAAACCACCATTTAATATAGACCATTGTTTATTGTGTTTACTCCTGGGTTATCTAGTGCAATAAGACTGTGCATGCTCTGACACAGTTTAGTGATACACATCTAGAGGATGTCTCTCATAGCTAGGAACAAAAAATTGTACATATAATTGAATGGATGGTGCATGCATACTGACAGTTCAGACAAGGGCTTGTTCCTGAATCTATCTGCAGTGTCCTCTCCCTTCTCTCTAGAGGAAACCTGAACCAAATACTGTGAATATTTCCATGTATTCCCAGTATTTTTGTATCATTTAATTGTAAATATTTTTGATAGGCAATATTGCTGAAAATCAATAAATGAGGTAATAAATAAGCTATATGAAGAAATAATCATTGTGACAGTAGTATGAAGTAGCCCTAACATATCTCAGATCAGTACTGTAAGAATATCTATTACACATGATAGGAAACTCACCTTAACATTGGGTAGGAAGATCAAACCACTGAAAGAGGTAAGATTATTGTTCTGTAAATTCACACTAGTGATATTTTTAAACTGGTCTGCTGGCACAAGATCCACCATTCTGAGTCAGACAAAAAGGGCATTTAGGGGAAAGAGGTGGTAAATTAAACATGATGCTTTTTCTGAGGCAGACTTTAGAGGAACACATGTATAAACTTTTAATGTCCTTCTTTGTAGATCTAATGCACTAGGATTATAGGAAACACCTTCTGCCATTGCAGTTATTTGCTTATCCAATCTAGTATTGTCTAACTTGATGGATAGGAATGCTGAAGGTCCCAAGCAGATCATATTAGTACTGTTGCACATCTGGAGATTTTAGAATCTCCTTCATGCAAAGCCTGTATTCTGAGCATCTATGATAATTTCTTCTCTTTCTGAAGTACGATGTGGGTGGCAATTTTTAAATAGGAAACAGGATAACAGAGTTGGAAGGGACCTTGGAAGTCTTCTAGTCCAACCTCCTGCTCAAGCAGGAAACCCTATACCATTTCAGGCTAACGGTTTCCCAATCTCTTCTTTAAAACCTCCAATATTGGAGCACCCACAACTTCTGAAGGCAAGACATTCAACTGATTAATTGTTCTCAGGAAATAGATTTTCAATGCATAGCAAGAAAATGATTAATTTTGCTTTGAAGTCCAGTATTTCCTAAAGATCCCTATAGTTTTGATTACCTAATTCCACATCCGCACAACTAGATGAATGGAAAAAGATTTTCCATAGGTTCCCAATCTTTGGTGGCAAGAACGCTAAGTTAGATGGACCAAGGAACTGATGCTGTATGTCACAGAGCATCTTTCTATGTCCATACATCTATTAAATCAGGGTTCTTCAAACTTGGCCCTTTTATGCCTGAGCCAGCGTGACTTGAAGCATGGCTGGCTCAGGAATTCTGGGAGTTGAAGTCCACGAGTCATAAAAGAGCCAAGGTTGCCTACCCCTGACCTAGAGCAACTGATTAATGGAAATGTTTTCCTTTCAGAAACTGTTGCACAAATAATTTTAATAAGTATTAGCAGTAAGGTGCTTTTTAAACTCAGTTCACATCTCAGCCCCATCTTAATATATGACTGAGGCATGCCCCTATTTCTCAATCTAATCTACCTCACAGGTTAAAAAGGTGTTAGGAAGAAAAGAGAGCCTTCCTTAGTTTCCTGTAGGATAGCAGGTTACAAATGCAATAATTAAACATCAAATTAATATAAAATAGGAACTGATGGTAGAGAAAGAGCCGAGGTGGCGCAGCAATTAGAGTGCAGTACTGCAGGCCACTTTAGCTGACTGTGTTCAGCAGGTCAGCGGTTCAAATCTCACCGGCTCAAGGTTGACTCAGCCTTCCATCCTTCCGGGGTAGGTAAAATGAGGACCCAGATTATTGGGGGCAATGTAAACATATATATACATTGCTTACTGGTATACACCGCTTAGAGAGTGCTTGCACTTAAAGCGGTATATAAGTCTCATAAATAAATAAATAAAGATAAATCAACATACAGCTATTTCCACTTTAATATCTGAAAGAATTCACCTGATCATAGAGGCTGTCCAGTTTAATTCTTGCATTTTGCTGAAGTTTGAATGGCCCAGTCTTTCTGCCACCATATCAGCATTAAGTTTGCCACCAAACTGATCTTTCGCATTTTCTACTTCAGTTGCTTCCTATATTAACGGCATTTAAAAATGTAAGTTGAAAATATATGTATTAATTATTACCCCGAGGAATGATAATTAATGGCTTCCCTACAGGTGGAGGGAAATATTTATTGGGATACCATGCCACTAGACTCTCTGTCTTGGGCTTTGTGGGGTTCAAGGTTTTTATTAATGATCTGAATAATAGAGTTAAGGAGATGTTCTTCAAAACTTGAGATGAACATGACTCACATAATTCTCCACGGTTTTTGTCTGTTTGGACTTCAATTGCATTCATATAATCAGTCATATGCTGATTTCTCTTCTATAAACTTCTCCCCTGTCTTTTTTTCAGAATTTCAACAACTCCATTCAACCATTTGTTTCTTGGTCTTCCTCCTCCTGTGGACCTATTCAGTATTCCTTCATTTGTTCATTATGCAATTCAATCATGCTCATTTTAATTGGTTGTACCACCTCAACATACTGTACCTTCTTCATTCTGGTCATTCATTTTTGTATTGAAACCAGCTTTATTCAGCATTTATTTACTCATGACTCTTATCTCATCTTATTTTACCATGAATGCTTTCTTAGTTTCCTGTATGATAGCATCCCATTCCCATTCCGTTCAATTTACTATCCTATACTGTTTTTTCCAGTATATATACATTCATTCATTCATGTCTGTCCGTCTCTCTCTCTCTCTCTCTCTCCCCTCCCCTCCCTCCCTCTCTCTCTCCTCATTCTCCCTTTTGTCTTTCCCTTACAAACTAGGTATTTGAAACTTACCACAGCAACGCCATCCAAGGCTTTCAGAGAAGGAATATGAAAAATGACAAAAAGGCGGTAATTTTCTTGCTTCCAAACAATCAGATTTCCATAAAAATCCAGTATAGCCAGACTATTTAACCCCTAGGAAGCAAAGAAATTAACCCAAAATTAAATGTGCAATTAAAGAAAAGGGAGAATCCTATGATAATGGTTTTGAGGTGGATTATAAAACATAAAATGTAATAAGAATTACTGTTTATGGTAAAAGAATTTATATGGAAGAGTTTATTTGGAATTCTTATATATGTTATGCCTCAAAATGTTTTAAGGAAATTTTGTTTTTAGTAGAAATGGTTAATATTTCCTTGGCATCTACACAGAGCAAAGCTGTTTACTTAGGGAACAATCTCCATTGCTAGCAAAAACATTGAATTCTGATGAGAATACTTTCTCTACAGATCTGGTTTAATACCATATTTTTATTACAATGGAAACCATTGCAGCCATCCACTATTAGTGCTTTGATAATAATTAAAAAAGATTAAGAAATGACTACTGAGGTATATTGGGAAAATTTTTGGAACTGTTGTATCCAAATATTTTGCCAACACACCTCTATAGAGAACTGGAATTGATGTCTTCTGTTTTTCTTCTTCTTGGTTAATAGGTAAAAAATGCAAAAGGAAAAATATTAAGGGAAAAAGTGGATGGAAAAGAAAAAAAAGCCTCCTTGTATCTCTATTAGTATTAGGTTAGAGTGGCTTTGGACTTTGAAGCAAGTATGCTACATTAACGTCATATATAATGAATTGTTATTTGTTAAATAACTGCTCAACTCACAAGACTTTATTTTCTTTAGTTCACAGCTCCATTTTTAGGCAGTATCAGCCTTCCTAATGCACTCTTAGATAAATTAAGGCTATATTTTCCTAATTCTTCATTCCTAATTTTGCATTTTACTGCATTTGTAGGATGCCAGATAAGAATAAGCTTACCTTAGTAAGATTTTTGTTCACAGGTAAAAGTTCAACATCTTCACTTTAACACACAAATGTTACCTTTAACTGATATATTTCTTGGTTTGAAGACACGTAATTGTTGCTTATGTAGAGTTCAATGAGTGCATAGGCCTTTTGTAAACCTCCTAATGATGTGATACGGTTGTTTTCAAGAGAGAGATAATGGAGGTGCGACAGATTATCGAAGACATTTCTCTCCAGGCTGGTGAGATGATTATTGTTGGCACTCAGTCGCATGAGTTTGGAGAGTTTTGAAATACCTGGAAAAGAACAGACCTTCTCTGAACAGATAGGAAATAGCAAAAGAACAGCATCACAGCAGGTAGGGAACAGATAGACAAGGAATCATGTTGGTCTACAGCTTCAGCTCATCTTCTCTAATTAATACCCCAAACAAATGCTTATAATCTACTTTTATTTACAGGATATATTTGGGTCCAAGTTGCTATGTATTAAAAAATATAAAATGTTCTCTCTCTCACACACATACAGATTAAAACAAGGCGCAAAATAAAATGCAATAATGAAGCCAATAAAAAAGAATCAGCCAATGAAACTTCCTGATGCCAAAACGCCAGACAAAATAAGGCAAAAATATTGCAACCCAATGGAAATTCTGTAATATGTGAACCACAAGAATTGCAAGCTAATCTGTGATTTATGAACTGTAAGCAAACCACCTTCTAATTAACTCCATTATCTCAGCTACATTTGCCCATTACTAACAGATCCCTCCACTCTCTCTATCTTTTCCTCCTTCTCTATTAGGGAGATGAATACATATTCCTGGGAAATCAGGTGTATGAGAGACCAGATCCTTTTTTTTCTCAAATGTTTCTTAGTTAGAGTATGCAAATCAAGAAAGGTATGACAGGATGGTAATCATTATAAGTATATATGCCTTACAATTTAACAGTTTAATTTTAATTTGCTATACTTTTAAACACCATTTCATGCTCCTTATACCCCCTTTTGCACATAATCCCTGCATTCCACTCAAGAGCTTTAAATGATGTTGAATGAAAGTCCTTAATGCTGTTCTAGTGGGAAGAAAATTCATAATCTTTGTGCAGCCCCTGAAAAGATTCTGTGTCCTGCATATAAAACCTGTGATGTATTTGTTCCTTGCTCCAGGTTAATATGATTTATCACACTGGCAAGCTCCAAATAAGAAGAGTGGAGCCTACTCAAGTTTCATGTGAAGGAAAATGCATATAATAAACTGTCTAATAGATTGCTACATTTCACCCTAGTTTAAGTAGTTGGATACCACTTTTCAAAATGACATCGATTATAGAATGCATAAAATGCCATTCCCACCTCCCAGTTGTCAAAGAAAGATAACATATAGTACAAACAAAAAATGCACAGACCAGGACTAGAGCTGTCTTTTGGAGAAATGGAAACATTGACATAAATGACAGCTGTGTAAGTTTTCAGGTAAAAGCCATCTAGAAGCAGAGTCTAGTTTATGTTTATCCCCAAAGTTCAGCTGTACAGAATTAAAAACAGAAATATATTACCTTCAAGGTTTACAATGCAGTTTCCATCTAATGTGAGTTCCTCCAGATTAAGGCAACGATCTAAACCTTCTATTTTAGTGAGATTATTGTTGCTGAATGATGCCCATCGCAAATTCTCTAATTGTTCTAACCCACTGATTTTGCAGAGATGCTGGCTATCCAGATCTAACACAGTAATCTGGGGGAAAAGAGCCACACAACTTTCTCTGTAACAAACATTAAGCAACTATAACAGCAACTGTAATATAAGGGGAACTGGGGTGGAGAGTGCTTTGGGAATGTTGGATGGTATGCCATATCCCCTTCTCTCTAATCCAGAGGTTCTCAACCTGTGGGTCGCAACCCTTTTGGGGGTCGAATGACTCTTTCACAGGGGTCGCCTAAGACCATCGGAAAATACATATTTCCGATGGTCTTAGGAACCGAGACACCGCTCCGCATCCGTCTCCACACGGCCTCCTCCACCATTTGTAGGGAGAGAGAGAGAGAGAGGCACTTTCGCTTCCCTTCTCTCTCTCTCTCTCAGGCGGACTTACCTCCTGCAAGCCTCCTGATTGGCCCTGCACTCGTGTGCCCCACCCTTTGGGAGAAGTGGGGCCAGGGCCTCGTGGCCTTGGAGCCACCTGGGGAAGCCCTGGGATCCCTGCTGGGAGCGGCCCACTGGAGGCTCCGCTGAGTGGGCCAGCCCTCCCGCAAGCTGCTGGCTTGGACCAGGAAGGCGCGCCGGAGTCCAGGCTGCCGGGAAGGAAGAAGGAGATTCAGCAAAGGTAGGAGAGGAGAGCCGCTTCCTGGGGCCCAGTGCTGGCGGCAGCTTCCTTGCCATCCTCTTCCTCCTCTCCTGCTTCCTCCTACTGCCCCCAAGGCAGCTTGGGCGGGTGCCAGGGCAAGAGGGGTGCCTGGGGGGAGCAGCTGGGCTGGCAGAGGGGCTGGCAGGCCGCGCGGCACTAGCCCCTACCGCAGCTCCATCGAATGGGCGGAGGGCAAGGCTGGGCAGTGCGGGGGCGGCAGGGACGGTGACAGCAGTTTTCTCGCTCCTCTCCTCTCCTTCTTCCTCCTGCTCGGGCGGGAGCCAGGAGGAAGATGGATGCCTGGGGGGGAGCAGCCTGGCTGGTGGAGGGGCTGGTGGGACGCGCGGCACCAGCCCCCACCACGGCTCCATCGATGGATGGAGGACGAGGCCGGGCAGCGTGGGGGCGGCTGGGACCTCCGACGATGCTGCTGTAAGAGAGAGAGAGAGAAAGAGGGGAAGAGAAAGAAGCAGAAGAAAAGAGAAGAAAGTGAGAAAGAGAAAGAGAGGAGAAAGAGAGAGAAAGAGAAAGGGAGGAAACAGAGAAAGAGAGAGAAGGAAAGAGAAAGAGAGGAAAAACAGAGGAAAGAGAAAAAGAGAGGAAGAGAGAAACGGGGAGAGGAAAGAAAAAGAGGAAAGAGGGAAAGAGAGAGGAAAGAGGGAAAGAGAAGAGAGGAAAGAGAGAAAAGAGAGAGAGGAAAGAGAAAGAGAAAGAGAGGAAAGAGAGAGAAACAGTAAAAGAGAGGAAAGAGGGAAAGATAGAGGGAAGAGAGATAGAGAAAGAGGAAAGAGAGAGAGAAGAGAGAGAGGAAAGAGAAAGAGAAAGAGAGGAAAGAAAGAGAGAGAGAGGAAAGAGAGAAAGAGGGAGAGGAATGGCGCTTCTCCAACCAGGCTGGGCGGAGCCAGCGGAGTGATCTTCCTGCCCCCCCTCCCCGGCCAGCTGGATGGGGGGTTGGGGGTTACCACAACATGAGGAACTGTATTAAAGGTTGCAGCATTAGGAAGGTTGAGAACTACTGCTCTAATCATTAACTAGCCAGCCTTCACTGCAGCTATTCTGTCTCAGTCTGCCTTCTTCATTAGTTCCTTTCCTCTCTCACACATCCTATTTTTGGCACCAATGTTTCCCTACTTTTCCGAGAAGTTAGAGGATAGCAGAGCAAGAATCAGCCAGTGTAATATAATCATTGAGCTATTGGACATTGGCTGAGGAAGACCCTGGATTAGTCCATTTTTTTAAGCCTAATTTACCTCAGAAGGGTATTATGAGAATAAAAATGGATAACACATGTGCACTTGGCTAGAGTTTTTGGGAGTGAAGAAGTGTGGGACATAAGTGTATTACACAAAGAAGTAAAATTACAAGTAAAAAGCAAATGTAGTAAGTGAACACAAGAGCAAAACATGTGGCATCCAGCCAAACGATAATAGTGTGAATGTAAAATTATTCCACCTAATAGAAATTGGGAGAAAAAAGTAGAAGGGAGTGGAATATTAACAAAAGGAAGTATTGTGTAGTGGAGTTCCCACTTTCCCTCCACATCTCTTACACTAGAATGCCAGTTGTTCTGAAATACATCCACTTTGTTATTGCTTATCTGACTCAAGATTTTGGCATACGGCAAGATACTAAGGACATGCAGCTTCTCCTGATCTGTCCGAGAATACTCTATCAGAGACATCTGGAGAATAAAGACAGATTAAATGGTACATTAAAATAAAAGCATATGTTGCACATTTCAATTACAAGATTACACAATTCAGTAATTTCTCTTCCCCTTTATCTCAAAGGATTTTTGCTGCTTTCTAATTACGTATCTCAGTTTTGAGAGTACAAATCGTGGTCCTATGTACAGACGCTAAAAGGGTATAATTTTCTGAAATGGTTTGTTATTTTGTGAATATTTGACTCCAAAAATATCTTAACTGTCCATAAAGTATAATATTCCTAAAAAAACAATTACATAGTGTTGAAGTGTAAAGTAACTGAGTCAGCAAGAGAATTATAGCATGAGCGATTCCAACATATTCTTTCAAATAATTCTGAGAAAAATACGTCAGTTAAGTGCTACTCCAGTTAATAAAGCTCAAGGCATATTGTATTAGGTTTTCCAAGATGTCATAAAAAATCTTGCATTTTTAAAAATAGCAGTAACAATGATAATACTTAAAACTACATTTCAATCTGCCTATGATGTTGTAATCAATGTACAATTATCATTTTAAGAAACAAAGAACCATCAAACCTCGGTGATTTTGGAGTCTGCTATATATTGAATAGCAGCTGCTGCTTCTTCCCCAGTAATCAAAATTCCATCAAGGTGCCTCAGAGCTCTCAACTGACCAATCACACTCAGGCGCATAGAGGCTGGCTTTGGGAGAAGAAAAACAGGGAATGGGATGCTGCTGTTCTAATTTCAAACTATTCAATTACCACTTCTACCTGGAGTAATCAGTTTCAGGCTACTTCCACAGCTTGCTTCTTTTCCCTTCTATCTCCCTACTGCTCTCTGGCCTGCTTACACCACAATTTTTTCAAACAGCCTTCCTCTATTAACATTATTATTTTGATTTCAGATTCCAGTTCTAACTTAATTCTATGTCACATTACTTTGAATGCCTCTTAAGCATTTTTATTAGAAATATCACTTCTAGAACCACACATTTAAAATTCTTCTTTCTTCAGAAATGGATGGAGCTGAAACATTCATTGGTATAGGCTTGATACACCTATTTTAGTATTTCATTATTTTAAATAGGACAAAAATTGTGCAACTTAAAATTACCAGCCAAGGGACAAAGTTCTACATGGGTCCTGTAATCTGCTCAAAGCTGCATTTTATGATGGAAACTAATAATATGAGAAGTTGGACCAATATAAACTTCTTTTAAAGAGCTACTAATTGCCTTGATTGCTGAAGTGCAAATCCTCTACTTTGTAGTCATGCATTGAATGTTTCCAATTGTAGAAGACTTTTTAAGACACCTGTTCTTCTAGAACAGACACGTCAAATTCGCAACATCATGTGATGTCGTGCAACGTATCGGAACTTTTTTCCCATTGCTGGCAATGGGATGGGTGCAGTTTCCTCATGACGCGTCCCGGCCCGTAGGCTGGCCGTTTGACACCCCTGTTCCAGAAGGAGTAATAGGCAGTAGTCCCAGAAATAATTGCATTCATGACAATGTGAATATGTTACCTTGTCATGCACCATGGAAGCAACTTTCTGTTTACAGCCACAGCTCCTATCCTTTGGAATAGCACATACCTCCCATCCAGAGATACCTGTGGCTCTAATCCAGGGGTCTTCAAACTTGGCCCTTTTATGACTCGTGGACTTCAACTCCCAGAATTCCTCAACCAGCGTGCCTGGCTGAGGAGTTCTGGGAGTTGAAGCACAAGTCATAAAAGGGCCAAGTTTGAAGACCCCTGCTCTAATCCTTCAACTTTTCCTGAAGTTTCTTATGACCTGGCTCTTTTCCCAGAGTTGGAAGTTAGGGTTTGTGGAGCCTTGGTCATTTTGGGGGGGGGGAGTGTTATGTGTTTTGTCTATATGGTCATTTTTCTTCAAATTATTATTATTTTAAATATTGTAAGCAACTCGGTCTTTTGGGAATTGAGTGGCCATGAAATCCAATAAATAAACTCTGATTAAAGCAGACTTACATGTAATGCAATAACAAGTGCAGCTGACTGAAATGTACCTTATGCCACTGATTATGCCTGATATCCAAACTGAGCAACATTGGTGTATGTTTACGTAAAACGCCAATTTCTTCTGCTGACTTTTTCAGCTGATTCCAGCTCAAGTCCAAATACTTCAGCTTGTTTAATCCTCTAATGCCTTCAAGAGTTATGACATGGTTATGGCTGGCATCAAAATATTCCAGGTTGGGCTATAAAGCAATATTTAAAGGCGATGGTAAATTCATTTTTTTTTGTCATGAACAAACATAACTTTCATATCTTTTATTTCCCTTTCTTCCTGTTACCTCTTCTCTCAGATATACTTCACTTTTCTTTCCTTCCCAATGTTTCTTTTAACCCATCTGTATTATGATTTTTATCCACTTTTCCTGCTATTTCTGCTATAGGAATAAAAGAGGAATGTTGTTTGCATATAATATATTTCTGTGTATGATAAAATGGTTGGCATATGCAGATGGATAGCAAATAATTTTTTAAATTAGCTATCTTACTTCACCAGCAATTCATAACTAGTTACTTATTTAATTAAGAGACTGGAGGAAAATGTGGAATGAAGCATATTTAGTCTTAAGAAGAGAAGACTGCCACGAGACCCAAGAGCTATCTTTAAGTATGTGAAGGATGGTCATAAAATATAAGGCAAGTTATTCTAGAAACAGTGGGTATAAATTAGAAGAAAATATATTTAAAGTGGACATTGGACTAAATAGAACACACTGCATTCAGGAAGGTTGGTGGGGTGCCTTCAAGTCAGTTTTTCTTTTTATTGCTAGTAAATGCCTGGACTAATTCCTGTAGATTTTTGCAAGGTTTTTTAGAAGTGATTTGCTATTGACTCCCTCCTAGGGCAGAGAATGACTGTCCCAAGGTCATTCACCTGGCTTCATGCCTACTGCAGGACTAGAACTTACAATCTCCCAGTTTCTAGCCGGATGCTTTAATCACTACACCAAACTGGCTCTTGCTTTCAGGAATGACTGGATTCTTATACTTCCTGTAAGCAACATGTAAGCTGACAACCTGTTGACTTTTGCTGGCAAGGAAGACAGATTTTGTGAGGGGAATTGCTGCTGCATCCGAGCCGACATAATCTCTCCTGAACAACATTTTTAAAATATATAATTTTGGGGTGATTATGCAGCAAAAGAATGGATTTTGGAAATAATGGATTAAGGAATCAGAGGGATTTGGAATAACAGGTTTGATGTTATATTGTAGATAATTAGGACAAGGATATGGTGTTTGATTCAAGTAATATACTTGAATCAAACATAATATCTATCTTCCAGTTTGGGTGCATATTCCAGACTCATACTCAACAAAAGCAATTTTCCTTCACCAAAAGTCACTTGAAAATACATGGAATCATGTTGCTGTTTTATCATAGAAGAATTTTGGGGAAAGATGAGCAAAAAACATTCCTTGGTGCTGCTACTATCTTTTCATCTCCATTTCACCTCCCCCGAAATACTGAACTCCCCCACCCTCCCACCCCATAATTTTGTCCTCCAGAATAGAGAAGGGTATTTACCCAAGCCTTAAAAATTTTTTATGAAAAAAAGTATTTTTCTTACCAAGTGGTAAACCTCATCTAAACAAGTAAATTCATTAAAACTGATAATAAGCTTGCGAAGTCCAGTGAGTCTGGAGATATCTCTGAGTTTGGTAAGCCGGTTTCCATGTAGATTTAGAACCTATATTAGCAGGAAAACAGGAATTGTTTATTGATCTTTTAGTATTTAAGGGATGATGGTTGAGTGTTGTGCAAACCTTTCAGAGCCATGTTGTTTGAAAACAATCAGAACTACACAACTCATATAATGCTGTTGAAAAATATCTCCACTGCTGTTACTGTAATGTTTGATTGATTGATAGGGCTGTCCAATTTGTAAGAATGACTCTGGGCAATTTACAGTTTGAAGAAACAATAAAACCAGGAATTAAAAATACAATGCTATCTAGTATACCAGTGGTTCTCAACCTTTTTATACGGCGACCCCGGTCATAAGGACGCGGCGGCGCTCCCATGTGCGGTGCGCATGCGCGGCGGCGCCCCCTGAGGGAAAAAATGGCGGATCGCGTTGTTTGGCGACCCCCGTAAAATGGTTGTTCGACCCCAAATGGGGTCGCGACCCACAGGTTGAGAACCGCTGTAGTATACTATCAGAGCATAAAAACAAAATAACGAAGTAAAAATAATAGATAGCAACAAACCAACCAACACATATGCTGAACAGGGGTTTTGCACTCTACATGAGTTCATTCTATTATCCAGTTCAATGCTTAGGGAAAGGGCCAGGTCTTTAGGCCCTTGTGGAAGACAGAAATCAGGGTTATCCGGACCTCAGGGAGAATGATGTTCTGTAAGGAGGGCATACTGCAGCAGAGAAATTGTATTCTTTGGGTGCCATTAGGAACATTGTTTCTTGGAAGGAACCCAAACATACCTATTATGCCAGATCTTATGGGCTCAGCAGAGGCACGCAGTATTGAAAGAAATTAGATTAATCTATTAGATTGTTTTCTTGTGAGACCTTTTCCCCCTTTCATCTAAACATGATCCGAACATATTTATTTTATGAAATCTCCATATTTCCTATATTTTATCCCCAGTCCATCAGTGAGACAGACTTAAGTTCCTTTGCTGTACCATTGTTATAGTAGTATTTTCTCTATATTCCTTTCAAAGACATCTCAAAATGCAAAAGCATTAGCCTTTCCCATCTACTACCTTGGAAGGAAATCAGGTGATTGGCAGTGACTGGAAACAGTAGCAACAGGGGCAGTAAATGTAATGTTAGTACTATATGCTTTTCTTTCAATTCAGGGCACTGGATAAACTTTGACTCAGTGGTGGGGAAAGGCAGAATCTAATTTTCACTCTGTAACAAGGCAGATGAAAAAAGCTACTCACAATAATCTGACTATAAATGTTGGCCTTTGAGATTGCCATCACAGTTTTTTCATCCAAGCAAATAATTTTGGGCTTGGGCTTAATTATTGGCTCCATGCTTAACACTTCATCATCATGTTGGAGATCCCGAGAAAACACAAAGCCTGCTAAATTTCGCCTTCCATCCTCCCCAATCACATTGCTGGGTGAGGAGAACAAAGCCTCTACTTTGACCTGCACAAAAAAAAAAAAAAAAAAAATATTTGCTTGGTTGATGTGAAAATGTTGTACACCATTATATATAATAACACAGATTTTAAAGATTAATATTCAATTGAAACCAAATTTATTTGCGGGAAGACTGATGGATAAACAGTTGGAAAAAATGGAACTTTGTATATGGCAACTTAATCTAATTAATTCTATAAATGAAATGATAATTAGTGAACTGATAGCTAATGGACACTCCATACCTGTGTGACGTACTCAAATTCAATGACGTACTCTGGCAAAACAAGCTCATGATCAAACACAAACCACTCGCACTGTCGGAGGCTACAGTCACAATTTTTGTATTCCACAGAAGAACACGTTTCAGAAGCTAAGAAAAAGGACACAATATGGTTCTCTTGTTCGTTTTTACTTTTATACAGACAATGTAACTTAGAAGAGGTTAATGGGGATATTTTTATTAGAATTCAAAGAATCCCTAGATGAAAACTTCTAGCTGGGAGGTGTAATTTATTTATTTTATTTTTATATCCCGCCTTTATTACTTTTATACACAACTCCAGGCAGAGAACATCTGTAATGCTCCTTCTTCCTCCTATTTTCTCCACAACCACAAGCCCGTGAGGTGAGTTAGGCTGAGAGAACGACTGGCTCAAGGTCACCCAGCTAGCTTTCATAGCCTCCTGGTTTGTTGCCTGGGGTCTTAACCACTAGACCAAACTGGCTCTAAAAATCAACGACATGTAGGTAAAATATATACAATATATATATATTATATATAATATGTAATATATCATGTATAATTTTATAAAATTATAAAATACATAGTAATTAATAACATACAGGTAAAAAGAAACAGAGTACATTGAGGTGCATGCCAAACTACAGAAGTTGTTTCAAAATTTTGAAGCTCACCATACAAAAATGTTTCTAAAATTTCAATATGTAGGATTCTTGGTGCTTGGTTCTTGATATTTACTGCCAGAATAAAACATGAAATTGCTCTGCCATGACAAAACCAATATGTGAAAAAAATCTTGGTGAACTATTTCCATATTATAGTCTGATTCCATCTTTTTCTTAAATGCAGCCAACAGTAAGCCACTCTTAGGACTGTTTATCCTGACTAAGTAACTGTGACCAAATTGCAGGACAATGAAGACTGGGCTGAAAATATATTTTAAATGCCTTTTGGGGTCTTCATTAGAATTTAGTATGCATATGTGTGATTAGATTGCCACCTGGTGGTTATTCATACTGTACTTTCTTCTTAGGGAGGAAGAGGTCTTTTCAAATCTTTTGGGAAATATGCACTGTTGTCTTCATATTCTTTTAAAAATTAATCTTTAATCACAAGGTGTAGAAATGGGTAAAGTGAGGGACACTTATCTACTTTGAAAAGAACAGAAATGTCCTAGAAATTGTTGTACAATGTTGACTCCACTGCCAAGTTCTCCAACTTACAAATAAGAATAATTTCTAAGTCTTTATATACCTGCACATATAAATCAATCATGCTTATTATTAATTTTCAATACCAAAACATCTTGAAGAAGCTGTATAGATGGAACTTCAGCTGCAGCCACTAACTCACATTTGGCTTTGTCTGGTTCCACAGTCCTGTTGTTGGATGTATGAGGGCTGTTTTGAGATGATCTGCGAGGCTTGTATACACTATCGATACCAGGATAGCTGGCTGGGGTGACTGGATCTGAATCAAAGGCTCCAGCACTATGCCCAAGAAAGACTTTGGCAATTATAAGTTTCCCTGAGAAATGAATAAAAGGTCTTATTTATAAACTCGATCTATTGGAAAGTTCCAAACAAGTGAAATGGAACACATCAAAACACTTAAGTGTTTTAAAAGCTTCCTGCTTCCTACTTCAGTCAAAACATTAACATACATTTTAGCATTATTAATATGTGAAATGGTAAGCTATTCAACACAGTATCCAGTGTTTCCAGAACAACCACCACAACTTACATTTCTAACTTGGATACAAATCAATATAGATTTTCAAAAGAACAGAGTCAGTTGGAAAACATGAGGCCACAAATGTGTAATCACCTTGCTAAATCCTCTTTCCCTATGAGAATTTGAGGTCATTCACTGAAACTAAATGCAGGGGGATTTAGGATTCACAGAGAAATACTAGTTTTACATAGTTAAACTGTGGGTTTCTCTCTAGCAGTCATGTTAATGGCAGCCAATTTGGATGGTGCTAAAAGCTGACTAAACAGTTCAGGGAGGACAATAGCTACTATACAGAAATCCTCGGGAACAACTACTCATTCAGCAAATATTTGAACTAGTAATGGCACTGAACAAGTGGTACTCATGACTAATCTTCCAAGTTCCAGCCATTGCAGTGCCCCTGCAGTCATGTGATCCAGATACTCAATAACTGGTCCAGTTTTCTGATCATCGCTGCATCCTGTGATCACATAAACGTGCAACTTTCTCTCCCAGCACCCCATAAACAAAGTCAATGGGGAAGCCAGCAGTAAATTGGAAGTTGTGATCATGTGTGGTTTTCACTAAATGATCCTGGTCATTAGCTTAATAACAAGAACTGGGAATGCCTGAACTGCTGTCACTAAGTGTGACACATTGCTTAGCAACAGACATTTTGGTTCTAATTGGCATACTTAAGCTAAGACTAGCGGTACTGATGGTGGTTTACTATTTCCTGAAGCACAAGGTGCTCTCAATACTTATTACTGAGAAACCACACTGGAAAAAGTCAATTTTGTAACTTCTAAAATGCATCTAGATTGCCACTGTGCGATATAGACATCTATGACACAATCAATGGGACTTTTCCTATACGATTCATTTATTACTAAATTCATATCCCATCTTTATTTTGTACAACTCCAGGCAGTGTAAATAATGCACCACTGGGCACTTCACCAGTATCAAAATTTGCACACTGCTTGTACTAATTAACTGAATCTCTACTGAGTTTGGGATGTTTTTATTTATTTAATTTAAATAAATCATTGTTAAAACTATGTTTAAATCCATACAGCAACATCTTAGAGATTACCATATCTGATTGACTCCTCAAAATCTCCTTTACTTCCGGATTGTTTTTGTAGATTTTCAATTCTTGGATGTTCACAGATATTTAGACTGTTTGAGAGTAAAAGGACTCCATTTTCCTAAAATAACAAAATAAAACAAACAAACAAACAAAAACCCAACAACCAACCAATTTGAGCGTCACCGCCTCACACAGAGCTTTCCAAATATTTAATTAATAGTTTTTAAAATTAACAAGCATTGTGAGCATGTGGAACAAATAAGCAAGCACAATAGAAGGACAGATGCTAGATTACAGAGTGTGATCTTTCTATTTGTAACACTTCTACATTAAAACTGAAAAAGATTTACTATTGATTAACAATTAACTTCCTTTATTTTTCTCTTTTTTTTAAGGAACAGATTTCTAGCTATTATGGCACTGAGATGCAGAACAATAAGAGTTGGAAGGGATCTTGATTAAGTTAAGTGTTAAGTGACCGCAGCAACTATTAAGCAAATCAATGCACTCCTCTGGGTGGTTTTTTTTGCTGAAAACTGGCTAAAAAGGTAGGAAATCAGGCAAAACCCTTCTAAATACTGCAACAGGCTGTAAAGATGAACTAGTTGTCAAGCAATCCAAAATGTGGTCATGTGATTGTGATATGTATGTCTGTGTGTGCGTGTGAACGTATAGCTATAGCAATTCCAGAATTAGGTCATAAGTAGCTTTTTGGGGGGGGGGGATCAAAATGTTGAATGGTTATTAAGTGACCTGTTGTAAGTCAAGGAGTATTTGTAGTTGCATATGGAGGAAAATAGAATAGTTTGGTTGCATGATTAGTTTTATGTATTTCTTTAATTATCATAAAAGAAATATGTAAAAATAGGAAATTGCATAATTTATTCAGACTACAAAAATCTGCTTTTTTAATGCAACAACTGGGATTTCCTAGAGGCATAATTGTTTTAAATATAAATAATATAAAAATCTTCAAGAATGTGTGGTATGGCACAAATCTCCTTAAGACTGTATCATTTCATAAATAATGTGAATGTTACCCAATATAAAACAACACTTTGCCTAGAGGTGGCAAAGCAAGTTATGAAGCATGTTGGAACAATGTTATTATTCAATAATGTTTCTATTCTTTCCCTATAGGAAGGTATTTTGTTTCTTTTAAATAAAGGAAGTACCAATTCATCCTTAATCAGTCTCTTATCTGCACTGTTACATGATGCATTTGATTATTCAGATAATTTTTGTATAAAATGCTCCCTAATAGGAAGACATAAACAGGAAAAAAAGAGAATTATGTTTTGGAACTTCTACTTACTGTTTTTGCTTCCTGAAAACCTTCTTCCATAAGTTGGATTAATTGCTTTTTTTTTAAGGCTATTTCAGGGGGAGATACATAGAAGAGGTACTCCAATATCTTCTTGAAGTTTCTGAAGGGAAAATGGGACACAGGAAGAGAAACAAAAAAAAAACCATATTTTAAAAACAATTTTTTAAAAAGTTTTTTATTAATAAAAGTTAAAACAAAAAAGGACATAACGTGTCATACCAGTACATATAATCCTAACAATTTGTTCCTTGTCATACATATAATTCCTAATCCCTATATATACATATTTTCCTATATAATACATATTTGTTTCTCTATATACTAGCATACAGTTTTATATACCACAATCTTAACACTAACTTAAAACACAAACAGTTCTCTTTGACTCATACCATTAATAAAATTTGTCCCAGATTTCAAAATAGTCTGTTTCTGTCTTGTCCTTTAATTCCATAGTGAGCCTATCCATATGAGCACACGATAAGATTTTATATAGAATTTCTTCTTCTGTTGGAATTTCTTTAAAAACAAATTTTTGAACAGTAAGGGACATAATAATCGAATCCTTAACTCACAGTTATTCTGCTAGAAAAGATCAAGGTTCACCTAATTTATTCAGTTTTATACCAAGGCTTCCTACAAATGGTAACTTGTTTGCTCCAAGTTACTGATCCACAAAAAAGACATGATGATATTACCTTAGCTAATAAGTATTGATAAAGCCATCATCATCACATCTTTCCTAGGTGGAGCCAATATTTGTCTTGGACTCAACAAAAAGGTACTGGGAAATTCCACTTTGCCACCCCACACAGTCTCTCCCAACAGCTAAACCACCTGTTCAGGCAAATGGGAGTGGGCCAGAGGAACTAATGATTGGAAGAGCAAGAAAGTAGATGATCCACAGGCAGGGAGAAGAAGAAACTGGGAAGAAACCTAAGGCAGCTGAAGACCAAGAAGAAATTTGCAGAGGGGCAGAAATGAGAGTACAGGATTGGTAAAATGGTGGCAGAACAAAAAACAGATTTTAATGCTAAAAAACTGGAAAATAATGGATTAAGAAGGATTGACAATAATAAATTTGGCAAGGCAGGAAAGGTATCAACATTCCTAAGCTGTGCTGTAATTAAATTTTGGAGGAGGGAGAAAGGAGCAGCTAGCTTTTTGAATCATAAAAGAAATTAAAAGCAGAAGTTTGAAATGTTTAACTGTGTTACTATACTTTTAGGCAGTGCTTTTTTTGAAAAAAAAAAAAAAAAGGTGCCAGAACTCACACATGTCATACAACCCGCCTTGCCTACCGTACAAGGTTCCGTCCAAAAAAGGTGCCGGAACTCCGTTCTGGGTGTTCAACCTGCCTCCAGAAGTTATGAATGCTCCAACACTGGAAGTTTTTAAGAAGAGACTGGACAGCCATTTGTCCGAAATGGTATAGGGTTCCTGCCTAAGCAGGGGGTTGGACTCGATGACCTCCAAGGTCCTTTCCAACTTTTTATTACTACTACTACTACTACTACTACTACTACTACTACTACTATTACTATTATGACAAAAGCCCTGCTTTTAGGACATTTATGGAGACTCTCAGTCATCCAGGTCATAGTTATCCCAAAGATGCTTTTCATGAGGCAACTGGACTTCGTTTTTCTTTGAAGATAGCTGGCTCAGGAATTCTGGGAGCTGAAGTCCATGAGTCATAAAAGAGCCAAAGTTGCCTACCTATTCAAGACTGGCTGTCTAGTCATTTCTTAAAAGCCTCCAGTGATGAAGGACCCACAATTTCTGAAGGCAAGCCATTTCACTGGTTAATTGTTCTCACTGTTAGGAAGTTTCTCCTTAGTTGTAGGCTACTTTTCTCTTTGATTAAGTTTCCATCCATTGTTTCTTGTCTTACCTTCTCGTATTTTTGAAAACAGGTTGAACCCCTCTTCTTTTAGGCAGCCTCTCAAATACTGGAACACTACTATCACGTCACCCCTAGTTCTTTTCCCTAGACTAGACATACCCAATTCCTGCAACTGTTCTTCATATGTTTTAGCCTCCAGCCTGTAGGATTTGCACCCCTTTTCTTATATAAATTCCTATTCCAGCTCATAATGTGCATAAATATCAATATGAAGCAGATTACTAGGTGACCAGATAAATAAAAACCATCTACATTTCAAGCCCCATATAAGACTCCTAAAATAACCACATAATTCATAAAATCACAATATATTCCTTCTCTCACATATAATAATATTGATTGGGTTGAATGCATCCTTACAGTAGGTCCACTGCAATCTTAATTCATTTTTCAGATAGATAGGTGTATTACACAGAGAACACACTCAATAAAAGCACAAAGAACCAAAGTCAATTAATTATCTTTTTTTGATTAATTTTTAAAAAACCAACTCACATGGATTCATTTAACTCTTCTTTATCCAAAAAGTTTTGGAATTTCTCTTCAAAATTCAGCCTCAAAATCCGATTATATACCCTAATGACACGATTTACTTTCAATGCAGTGATGCCATACGCTTTGAAGTCCCAGGCACAAAATCGGGATAAAATTAATTCATAGCATGAATTAAACCTGTGGTTAAGAGAGGACATGAACCACTATAATTAGTCAATAGAAAAATACTCCGCCCAAATACATTAGACAAAATTTAAAAAAACCTCTCCCTCCATTAATTACATTACAATAAAATCTAAGACAATTTCTCAATTTTGAAGATAATTACTGTTGTTTTCAGACAAAAACAGCAGGAAGATTCCTCAATATTTTCCTGAAAAAATAATATCTGTGAGGTAATGAGACAGCAGCTGAAATTTACATTTAATTTGCTTTCAAACTTTATCATCACCTTACACTAAATTTATATTCCTTTATTTTGAATGTAATAGATTTGAGCACAAAACATAACAATGAAAGCTGCCTTCCAGCAAGTCAGACCATTAGTTCATCTAATATTGATTACAATGATCAACCTTCAGAGTTGAAAAGTGATCTTGGCATGCTTGACTGAAGATGCTGGAGACTGAACCTGAGATATTCTACTATATATACTTTTTCTGTCCCAGTTTTCTGAGAAAAATTTGCTTTCCTTTGAATGAAGTAACGTAGTAATTATTGCCATACATATTATCTGAAGTAAATTACTTCTTGGAATTTTTTTTTATATAGCTTATCTACCTGTATTATATACAAGGTAGTCCTCAACTTACAACGGTTCACTTTATAATAGTTTGGAATCATGATAGCCTCGGAAAATTGAGTTATGACCCATTCTTCAAGTTAACAATGACTCTTGCACCATCCCCATGGTCACGTGATCACAATTCAGGCACTTGACATTTGCATTTATGATAGTTGCAACATTTTGTAGGCATATGATTGCAATATGCAACTTTCCCCACCAGCTTCTGTCAAGCAAAATCAATTGGGGAAGCTGAGTTTGCTTAACAAGTATGTGATTCACTTAACAACCATGGTAAAAACGGTTATAAAATCAGGCCTGTTCAAAATGATAAGTCCTTGTGCTCTCTGAGTTTGGTTGTTTTCTTGCAGACATTTCATTACTAAAACTAGGCAATGTTACTTATAACTGCACTGACTTATGATGGAAATTCCAATCTCCATTGTGCTTATAAGTCAAAGACTAGCTGTACAGTAGGTGTTCCAAGCACAGACTGAAGTAGTGCTTGCAATGTGATGTCTTTGTGGGGTGCTGTAAAGGAGTATAGTATAGTATAGTAGCAATGTAACTTATTGCTTTATTAAATTTTGGAGGGGTTTGCTATACAATGCATATTTTATAAGGCTGCATATTATTTTCTGCTTCCTTATGAGTGGGGCTTTCCATTCTCTTGTAGAAATCAGTCTTTTCCCACATGTTATAACTAAGTCTATGGTTAACAATATCTGAATCTCTCAAAAGTGCTATCTAGGTGGCAAAGCAAGGATGAACTGAAAGCTAGATCAAGTGGCATACAGGGTTCAAGGAAGGGGAGATTTATATCCTGCTTTTTACCCCAAAATGATATTTAGGGTAGTTGTCAGGTGCAAAAGACCAGGATCACATGTGAAGTTCCAATTAAACAGTTATATTGCTTATGCCTACGCAGAGGAATATTCTCAATTAATGCCTAGCTAAACGTTAGATAAGAGTCATGGGAATTCATAGTGGGTTGGACTTAATATGTTTATAGCTATGTAGAGACTCTAGGCCAGGGGTTCAAACTGCCGGCCTGTGGGCTGGTTGCATTATGTGGAGGCTGCACCCACCTCAGCTCCGGCAAAGCAAATAAAATTGCGGTACATCACGACACGTCACATGGTAAGTTTGACACCGGTGTTCTAATCTAGGCTGATCCCATTTTTGACACTATCCCTAGGCTCTGCCAAATCTTCTACACCTGTTCATGCCTTATTTACTTTTTGATTGACCAAGAGTATCTCTAAATCTTATTTCCTGACTGTTAGGACAACATTTCCTGACAGTTAGAATAGACTAGAATAGAATAGAGCTGGAAGGGACTTTGGAGGTCTTCTAGTCCAGCCCCCTGCTCAAGCAGGAGAACCTACACTGTCTCAGACAGGTAAATGTCTAATTAAAAATCTCCAGTGCTGGAGCGCCCACAATTTCTGGGGGTAAGCTGTTCCACTGGTTGATTGTCCTCACTGTCAGGAGGTTTCTCTTTAATTCCAGGTTGCTTCTCTCTTTGATCATTTTCCAACCATTGTTTCTTGTCTTTCCATCTGGTAAACAACCTGGCCCCCTCTGCCTTGTGGCAGCCCCTCAGATACTGGAACACTGCTATCATGTCTCCCGTTTCTTCTTTTCTTTAGATAGCCAAACCCAAGTCCTGTAGCTGTTCTTTGTATGTTTTAATCTCCAGGCCTTTGATCATCTTAGTTGCTCTTGTCTGAATTTTTTCCAAACTGTCAACATCTTTTTTGTGATATGGTGACCAAAATTGGCTGCAGTATTCTAGGTGTGGTCTTACTAGGGTTTTATAAAGCGGTAATAATTCTTCGCGTGATCAATGGAACTCCAGAAGTTGTGAATGCTCCAACACTGGAAGTTTTTAAGAAGAGACTGGACAGCCATTTGTCCGAAATGTATAGGACCTCCTGCCTGAGCAGGCGATTGTACTAGAAGACCTCCAAGGTCCCTTCCAACTCTGTTATTCTGTTATTCATTTGTCTCAAAAGCTCACAAATGTAAAAATGGAAGGACACTTTGATTCCCACAATGGATGAATCGGTGTAAAAGGTGACAGAGTTAGCAGAATGGCTAAATCTGCATTAACCATGTTTGTTTTCCTTAATCTTGTGTAACTTTCTTCCCTTCTGTTTTCTATACAAAATATTCAGTTTCCTTAAATTATATGTTGTTATGATGTCCCAACTGCCAAGACTATAATATGGAACATAGAAAGTTGTATTTTACAAGCCACTGGGCTATTACATCTTATTGCCGAGATTGACTTACTCTCAGTTTCCCTGTTTTTAGACAGGCAATAGCATCTAGGTATATCATGAATGCATGCAGATATGCTCCACAACCACTGGCCTCAACCCCTTCTACTCCTGGTGCTTACTTGGAGCCATTAGAACACTGCAAGATTGAAGATTAAAATTTTAGAACACTGCAAAACAACTGTACCAAACATCATTTGGTGAGCCCTCTTCAAATCGTGTGTTTCCCACAGATTCCAGTTCAGTAAGCAAAAACTGTACTGCCAAATTGCTGGTTTTCTTCTTCTTCTTGACTTCCACTTGATAAATAGTTTCAATTCTGCAATATGAAACACAGGATACACCATAGCTGAAGATTCACAGTGAATGGCAAAGTACAGAAAAGGGCAATGATCTAAAGAACTGCTTAGCAAGCTTTATGAATATGCAGGACCTCAGAGCCAAGGACGGTCCTAATGAATTTTTTCCCGATTTTCCAACTTTCCCTACTAAAACATATGTTATCTGTCTTATTTAATTTAAACAGATACAATGGAAACACAACCAGTATTCAAATTCTATCAAGTGCTCTGCAAGAACCAAAAGTATACCAGCACTCCATTGCATGTACAAAGTTGCTATAATAAAAGAATAATGTTTACTACTATTACATAAAAGAATAAGCACAAGGTCTCTTTTTTAATGTTAGGTTAAGGATGGTGTTAGTTAAAGAAATCCAGAATTTGTCAAAGTTCAATGTTACTCCCAGCTAGAATTAATGTATCCTTGTACCTGAAAGAAATGTGATCCTGAATTTTAGGCTATTCATGCATCCCTGAAATTATCCAACCTTATTATCACATTCCATTTTTCAGCTAATGGAAAATAGTCCTCCCATTATAAAGGAGAATTATTTGGGAAAATACCCACTTTCCTTTCAGATAAATACAGTATTTTTGCTTTTATCATGCACATTAATGTCCCAACGGAAACTATTTCAGAAAAGACAAAAGAAGCAATGTTTTTTCTTATATCTATGAAATATCAACATGAAAATCATTAATCTAAAAAAAAAATCTCTACTATCCTTCCAATTAGGACTTTTTAAACTGATGAAAGAATTTTGTTTAATTAAATCTAAATATTGACTATTGTTTTAAAAAGTACTGCAATTAAAATTTCTCATTTATGTTCTGTATATTCAGTACATTCAGATGCTATATTTTTTCTATCCTGCTCTATGGAGTAGAGAGTTGGTCTCTGACAGAAGGCCACCTGAAAAGACTAGAAGCATTTGAAATGTGGATTTACAGGCGGCTGTTACGTATAAGCTGGGTTGACAAGATCAGAAATGAGGAGGTGATAAGCCACCTGGGAAAGCCAAGGGAAATCATCAAAACAATTAAAAAATGAAAATTAGAATATTTTGGAAATGTGATGCGACACCCAGAAAAATACGGCATACTCCATTTAATCCTCCAGGGAAAGATTGAAGGCAAACGAGGTCCAGGCAGAAGAACATCGTGGCTTCAAAATCTAAGGGATTGGTTTGGACAAAACTCAGCAACACTTTTTCGTGCGGCTGCTGATAAAAACAGGATCACCAACATGATCGCCAATGTCCGATAACGGATATGGCACAAGAAGAAGAAGAATATTCAGTACTGAATTTATACAGACATAAGCTTTCAAGTCCTAAAGTTCTGCTTTATACTTCATTTACACAAAGATAGCTTTTCAAGTCCTCAAGTCCTACTTTATAGATTTCCTGAAAACTTTTCTCCTTGCTGCAAATTCTTTCACAATAAAATAGTATTTCCTAATGACATAAACGCAGCAGAGCATCTTACTTTCCTCTTCCAGAGGACATGTAAGTTTGAAGGAACTTGAGGACCAGCATGCAACCCACAAGCCCAAAGTGGATCTTATCTCAAGCAATGAATTCAGTGTCTTCAAGTCCCAAACCTGTTCAAACAGCAGCCCTTGCACCTTTCACAAGATGTACATACTCCTGCAGTTTCTTGTTCCAGAAATTTATTCTTCTTTTGAGAGCATCTAATTTAAGTAGAAATAGTTGCTCCAGACTGGATTCCTCTGAGGTCTCATCTGGACTCTCAACATCCCCATCTGATTTTTCATATTCAAAGTTCCAGCTTGAAGAAACTTTACTAGCTTGTATTCTACCACTTGCTTGAAGTTCCATTAATTCACGTTCTAGCTGTTTCAAGACAGAAAGCAAAACAAATGCATTAGTTTAACTGAAATTTATGAAGGTTGTGAACATTTAATGAAAAGCTAAAGCCCAAAATTATATAAATAAAATAATGTGCAAAAATAGGACAAGAACCAGTACAGGTATTTTGCTGCACGTCACTGCATAAATAAGAAAATACAAATAATGATGTTATTCCACAATGAAGAAGAAAAATACTATTTAGAGTAAAATTATCCAATAGGCACACATTCTAGAAACTATATCTAATATCCCTCACTTATTTTTTCCCCAAAAAATAGTCATGTAAGGTCATGTAGATTGTGATGCGGAGGAGGGAGGGAATGACACAGAGAGAGAATCTTTTCCTTCAGATACACTTTCCATGCAAAAATGCCTATTCTCAAGTATTTGCTTCCCAAAAAACAAATTGGACTTTTAAGAGCAATAGGCAATGAGAGTAGTGACGCCAATTAGCAAATAGCAAGCATGGGAAGGAAAGAATTAATCTCCCTTTCCCTTTATACTGTGGTATTGCTCTGTGTTGGGGCTCCATATGGATACTTTTTTGGGGAAAAATAATTTGCCAAGACAAATTTGAATTTTGTTTTAAAGACATGGTATACCAATATTAAGATGTACTGATTTACTAAACAACTGCAAAGCCCAAGTATGTTTCAGAAACACCCCAAATTCTATTCTGTTGGGTTTTATTTGGAGTTCAATATTAAATCAGGAAGACTTAGTAATTTGCTCACATATTATGTATGCTTTTATTATTTATTAATTTTTATACTGCCTATCTCCCTTATGAGGCGACTCTGGGCAGCATTTATTATTAAGTATTATTAGTATTATTTGTCACTCAATCAGCCAGATGTTTGGACCGGACCTGGCATTTTTGTCACTTATCGAGTCCTTCCTAAGTGTCTGTGATTATTATTAGTATTGTTTTGATTAAATACTTCAAGTCATGAGACTGGATTGGTCTATAAAATAATTTCTTTTGTATTTATTTATTTGATTTCTATGGCCGTCCATCTTGTGACTCTGGGCAGGCTACATCATAAAAACATAATAAAAAATAAAATAAATATATATGGTTGCTAAGTAAAACTATTGCCAAAGATATAGCCAAGAAATGGGGCCCTTAATACACTTGGAGCACCAGACCTATCACATAACAAGGACTTCACAGCCATACAAAAGGCCAGATGGGCCAGCATGATACTAATCTCATCCTAAACTCTGAAATTTTCAGACTGAGATTGAACCTGGAACCTTCTGGACTGTAAAGCCTGCATTCTACCAAGCTTTTTTAATGAAGAAAGGCTCACTACTGAATTGCGGCCATTACTTCTGAGAGAAACACTCTCCTACTTGGAATTATTGAAAGTATAACAACAGATTGTGGGCAGGCATGTGAAACTTCAATGGTAGGATTCAAACAATAGAATTCAGCCAGAATTTACTTTGGTGGTGGCTGGGTTTCTTACATGTTTCACATAGCAGCTGAAATGTTTAAGACGATCTTCTGGCAATTTCTGTAGTTTGTTCTTTCTTTCATTTAGCTTTTCAACCTCCTCATTCAGTTGTCTGTGAACACTCTTGATTCGCATATTGTAGTACATCACTTTTTTCATCACAGTTGTCTTCAAAAGATAAAAGGAAAAGTCAGAAAGGAGCTGAATGTTAGCATTTAAGGATACAATAATAAATTAAAAATTCTAAAATATCATGCCATTATTGGATTGTAGTCCCCAAGTTTGAACAAGGTGGACATGATATGGAACAATCTCGCATAGGAAAGCATGTCAATGTTCCTTCTATACTTTCTCTATCTTCATCAGGCCCATTCCCACACAATGGTAGTGCTTTTACACCATTCCTTAGTGTAAATAATCTGCTCTTCTCTGGATAAAGCTCCAATGCTTCTACAGCAAGCAGCTCCATACAACGATGACATCAAGAACAGTTAATAAATAGTGGACTAACACTAATTTATTTATTTATCCAATTTATTTGCTGTCCATCTTGTGGTTCAGGCAACTCTGAGCGGTAACTCTGAGCAGCTAACATAAATATATCTATTTATGGAAGAGGGACAGAATCGTGGATATTCTAAGGTAAAGGATGGACAGTGTTGAGAGAAACAGTCCTTTTGAAAGGCAATATGAGCCATCTCTGATTCAATGGTACAGAGGCTAATTTCTTTCTGATCCAATTTAAAAAACCCATGTATTTCAGCAAGATGTGCAGTAGGTTCATTTAAAGAAGAAGAAACAAGTAAAATGCAGTAAGGTTATTTGGTATGACACATATGCACAAGGTTGCTAAAACAACTGGGCCCAGTGCTCTTCAACATCTTCATCAACGATTTGGACGAGGGGATAGATGGGGATAGATGCAGACAAAACCAAGCTGGCAGGAATAGCCAACACTCCAGAAGACAGGCTTAGATACAGGAAGATCTGGACAGACTTGAACACTGGGCGCTATCTGGCAAAATGAAATTCAATGGTGAAAAAAGTAAGGTTCTACATTTAGGCAAGAAAAACCAAATATACAGGTATAGTATACCTTGCTCAATAATAATAACTGTGAGAGGGACCTCAGAATCCTAGTGGACAATCACTTAAATATGAGTCAGCATTGTGCTGCCAAAAAGGCCAACACACTGCTGGGCTGCATTAACAGAGGGATAGAATCAAGATCATGTGAAGTATTAATACCACTTTACAATGCTTTGGTAAGGCCACACTTGGAATACTGCATATAGTTTTGGTCACCATGATGTAAAAAAGATGCTGAGACTCTAGAAAGAGTACAGAGAAGAGCAACAAAGATGATCAGGAGACTGGAGGCTAAAGCATATAAGGAACAGTTGCAGGAATTGGGTATGTCTAGTTTAATGAAGAGAAGGATGAGGGGGGACATGATAGCAGTATTTCAATATCTCAGTGGCTGCCACAAAGAAGAGGGAGTCAAACTATTTTCCAAGGCACCTGAAGGCAGGACAAGAAGCAACGGATGGAAACTAATCAAGGAGAGAAACTTCCTGACAGTTAGAACAATTAACCAGTGGAACAACCTGCCTCCAGAAGTGGTGAATGCTCCAATACTGGAAGTTTTTAAGAAGAGACTGGACAGCCATTTGTCTGAAATAGTATAGGGTTTCCTGCCTGAGCAGGGGGCTGGATTAGGTGACCTCCAAGGTCTCTTCCAACTTTATTATTATTAATAATTTCCAAAATGTGTTTTCAGTTTTTTCCCCAGTTTCTCTCTATAGGTTTGTTTTTTTTTAAAACAGGAGAATTAAAGCAATACATATTTTTCAAAACAGAGAAAGGAGATCAGTCAGAGATAAGATTAGTCTCTATTCTCAGCTTTTTGGAAAAAACAAACATTTTACAAATTGGGAATGATGAAGGAGATTGCTTTTTCACACATATACCCGATAAACTAATTTTATCACACTGATAAATGACAGTGATTCAAAAAGACTTCTCTTGCAGATCTTACAATATCAGGACAGTTCATTTTCTTGGAATATTACAGGTACAGGCAATCCTTCAAATGGGTTGTTTGCAGCTTTAAAAGTCAGACGTAACTTTCTTAAACTGAATCTGGAAAACTACTTGCATGCAGTGCAGATTTTTAAATATTGGAGTGATGCAATTTGGGCAATTAAAGATTGCTAGGCACTCTTCAAGAATAGCTTATATAAAGCATTCAGCAATGATCTGAAGTGATGAAACCAACAATTGGATAGATAATTCCTATGGGATCAGATTGATACTAGAACATTCAATTAGCATAGTAAAAATCTTTGTGCAATGCACTCCTTTCCATCAACAATATCTGGGAAAAGCTGAGCCTGGCTTTTCAGGATTAGCACAGGTCTTCAAGAACAGGTTTAATATCAAGCTCCAAACCAAAGAACTAATATTTAGTCTTAAATAATTTCAGGCGAGGGTCACTTTCCTGCCACACATGACTGAATCTGGGCAATATTCAAAATGCAGCCCAGGAGGTCATTATTCCTGTAGGCCAGGGGTAGCCAACCTTAGCTCTTTTATGACTCGTGGACTTCAACTCCCAGAATTCCTGAGCCAGCACAGCTGGCTCAGGAATTCTGGGAGTTGAAGTCCACGAGTCATAAAAGAGCCATGGTTGACTACCCCTGCTGTAGGCTTTCTATATTTAGCAATAGGGATAATCCTATTAGCATAGCTCTTCTCCCGTGGAAAAGGATTCTTCTGTCCTATTCAAACAACTGCTGAAGTTAGGATTAAACTACAAGTTGGATAATCAAGTAAACCTATAATTAACTGAAGAAATGTTTAAATTAATTTTAAAAGCAACTAAGCATTAATCTCTATAATTGTTGTCATTGTATTGTATTGTATAGTATTATACATATGGAATACTCATATAATTAGCTAGTAGTAACCTTTTTCTGTTCTGATTCTTAAAACTTGTACTCACCTCTGCCAGCTCTTTTATTTGTGTAGAAGATACATCGTAAGTATCAAGCCTTTGAAGCAAAGGAATGTGATATAGCACATGTGTTGCATAATTGCAAAGATGACAGACAGGGTTGGCTTCATACTGGGGGTCACTCAAACACAGGTCTGTTAAACAAGGTAATCTTGCCAAATTGGTAATTTCCTTTGCAAAAGAAAAAAAAATGAAAAAGCACCACTTTCAAATATATCTAATGTCAAGAACTATTCTAGGCTTCACCATTCACAGAAAACCTGCAGAAACCTAGGAATAAAATAAACTGAAATATTTCAATGTTACATTTTCTTAACAACGAATAACCTTGCTCCATATTATCCTGCTCCTCCGTGAATTGCATTGTTTGCCAGTTTTGCTTCCAGGTCCAAGTCAAAGAGCTGATGATGACTTATAAAACCCTGCATTGCATAGGACTGTGTTACTTGAGGGACCACCTTTCCCCAATCATATCTACATATCCCATCAGCCAGGGATTGTCATCTGGAGGGTCATTTGCTGTGCTTCCCTTTCTTTGGAACATTACCCTCCAGAACTCAAATTGGCCCAACTTTCCATGTTTGTTGCAAGGCTCTAAAAATATGGTTTGGCCAACAGGCATGGGGATCCAAGGGTGTGGCAGAGCTGTGCAGTGGATGTATTGATTGTTACTGATGGATATTGTCTATCCATCAGTATTAATTTTTTGTAGGGTTATATGGTTTTTATATTGTTTTACTTTTTAATCATTGTATTTGTATTGTATTTGTATTCGGGTCTCTATACTGTTTTTTCTCTGAGTTGCCCAGAGATACATTGAGATAGGCCGCTTTATCAATCTGAATAATAAAATAAATTAATAAACCAGTTACATCAATCAAACCAATGAGAAGACAACACTTACTTTAAATGAGCATATTCTGTTACCAGACAAATTTAATTTTTCAATACTTTCACTTGGATCCAAGCGGTTTCCTAAAAAACAAAAGGAGGGAAATTATTCTTGAACTTTCCCCTTTTTTCTAGTTTTGGTTGCTATTCAAAAAACTAAGCAAGTCAGATCTGGTTAGTGGTTAGACAGATGGAAATGCAAGGCTGTAGGAAAGATTGAAAAAAGAAGAAAGTAGTCTCATATAACTTCTATACTGTTGCCAAGAAAACTGCATGGGTATGCCCATGGAAGAAATAGAAAAAAAAATCTGATTCAAGAGACTTTTTTCTTTCTTTCTTTCTTTGTAAATTGTAACAGTATACAAGTAAATACAATAGAACAATTTCTTCAGAAAAATATTTTTTTCTATACATTAAAAAATATATTGGATCCACTTGACAATCTAGCATTCTATTTTCCACAATAATCAACAACTGCCTCTGGAAGTTCATGGGAAGACCTGAACACAGTAGCCCTCTGTAAATTAAGGAAGATGACCTTGATAGAGACTTCTTGCATCATCTTCTTTATACTCTACATCCATTAATGTTCCTATGGTAATAATATTCAAAAATACACACTTCTGATCCAGAATGGTTATAGTTCCTCTTTTACACAATTGAGATCAGTGATACAACAACATCAGAGCAAAGTCCATGACTCAGCCAAAACAGTTGACTGATGCCTCAAACCCAGTATCAACTCCTGGGTTGAAATAGCACGAAATAGGCTGAAGTGGGATTGATGTTGTTTCTCACAATACTTTTTTTCCCTTATTATTAGCGTCAAAACATGATGTGATTACAAATGCCTGTGTTATTATGTGTACATATTGAAAAAAATGGGTAACAAAATGAAACTTATATTCTGGTAATAGGACAATCACTTGAAGATTGTCCTATTGTCACTAAAATTCCCCCTAGGTAAAACCGTTAAGCTTAGCATCTAAAATCTTAGCTGTACTACTGTATTGCATAGCACGGAATATAAAAGTTTCATACTACTGTAAATGACAAGCTACTGAGCAAGAGAAGGGTTCTATTTGCTGTTGTTTGCCCCATTAGTAATATGCAAAATAACAGATATGCAAAATACAATGCATCTTGTACCAATTTTACTAATATTGTTATCTGCAAGATTGAGTTCTTTCAGTCTCTTCAATGAAGTCAGCCCCTGTAAAAAAACACAGATTATTGTATTTAGAATCATATAATGTTGCAAATTCTTTAAACCAGACATACATTAGACTATGTTGCATAAAGCAAATGATTTTGGAAAACAATTTTAAACCAAGCTGTATTTTGTACAACCATTAAGAGTAAGCTTTCTACAACTATTTTATTTAGAAGATTCCTAATAATTTTATTCCTTTAATATGGCTAATAGCTTTGCAATTGTGGAACTCTATCGGAAGATTAAGTTCAAATAGCTCTTATGCGATTTTGTTTTAAATTACAGAGGAGGACATCCTTTGTTCATCTAGACACTTGCAGAGATTATAAAACAAGATCCTCTTAAGAGTATAATTTTCAAGTGAATATTATTTCATTTCTGGTTGGATGGTTATTTATTTACTTGCTATAGAATAGATAATTTTAATGTTGATTGTTTAAATTTTAACTGTATCTTAATTCTACCTTCAGAAAGAGGGGGGCGAGAAACAAAGAAGAAAAAAAGGAAAGGGAAGAAAGAATAATTCTTTATAATTATTGGTGGATTGGGAAATATAATTAATCACCTGTACAACTGGGATACCTAAGAGATTAGAATTGCTGAAATCGTATTTGTATTGTTGCCAAATATATTAATCAGAAAGTGCTTTTGGTGATAAAAGTGCTTTTGGAATAAAATAGATCAGCTGCTCTAGCTGTTCTACAGTTTCCTACACAATTTTTAACTATTTAAATATTATCTTCTTCTCTCTCACTTGCTTATCCTTACAAATAAATAGCTCTTCAAAACCCAATCCTACCTGTATTTCTTTAATCTGGTTCCCATTAAGCCAAAGTATCTCCAATTTTTGTAGCATTTCCAGATTTTCAATGATCGAAATCATATTGCAATACAGGTAAAGTTTTTGCAAAATAACACATTTTTCCAAACCAGCAATTTTCTGCAAAGAAATTAAAGTCACCAAAGAGGAAAATGCAGAATTTCCAGAAAATAGAACAAGAGTTTAGGGGAAATGCCTTAACCACACTGCCAAACTGTCATCTAAACCTGGTACATGAAGCTTTAATTTCATTGTTACCCATCTCATTAGATAGACATAAACCACTATATTGTCAGAATTCCCTTTCTATACATAGACCTGGGCTCCTCCAAATACTTCTGGGATAAGTAATAACCTTTAACTACTTAAAATGAACTATTACTGCTTTTAACATGTCTTATTGTTGCAGCAGATCCACAATTCATGATTACCAACTTTTCTTCTAATGCACAAATATAAATTTGAAACAAAGGAGAAGTTAGTCTTTCTTGAATCAACTTTGATTACTGGAAATTTCACAAACAAGGGACTGTAATTTTCAGGACAGCAATACAGTAATAGTTCAAAGCTACATTTTTCAAGCAACTAAGATATACTAGTGGTTTTCTGTCCAAGTTCTAATCAGATATGGCCCTGCTTTTCAAGATTTGAGCAGATGTTTTAACATCAAATAATACATTTAAGGTGAGGTATGAGTTAAATGCGAAATAGATTGAGACTTTTTACTTGGGCAAGACTTCTCTATCTTTGCTAAGATTGCAATCAGACTTAAAATCTAAGTATACAAGCTTAAGCTTCAGAGCTACATTCTCTTCAAAAATAGGTGAGGCCTATGCATTCATTAAAAAGTTGTGCAAAATATTATATCTTAGAACATTCTGAGCTTGGAAAGGCCCATGCTAAGGTTGGAATGGCCTACTTTTGAATCAGAACATTCTGGGACAAAATATTTTGCTCACTCTATATTGCAACCAAATTTTGTTAAGTAACAGAAGGGTGAAATTATTAAATACACATCTATAAAGTAATGTTTTTCACTATACTTTGTGTTATGTAAAATTAAGAGAGTTGATGTTTTCACTGAATCTATTTTGGAAGTGTTTGGAGTGACTTAGAAAACGTCTTTCACAACGTGTGACTTATTTGAGGGAACTTGGAAACTTAATTCAAGCATGATTTCCTGAAAGAATTAGGTGTAGGCTTTGCCACTAAGAAAATACTGGTGTTGCCAAGCTGTGGAGGTGTTATAATCACCAAAACAGAGTAATTTGAAGAGGCTTTTTTTTTAAACTGGGACAAAAAAAAAAATGGATGGGAACACAGCGGATGAGTGAATAATAAAGAGTATAATAATAGTAGATTGCTCAGTCAGATGTAGCATTGAGATGGCAAAAGGACAATAAAAATTGGGTAGAAAAATGGTTATGCATTGTGCTATGAATAACATTATCTCCACTAGAATCTAAGAAAACATGAAAAATGTTGTACAAACTGGAAGGATCCCAAAGCAGAAGGTGAATTTTGGTTCAGGGAATACAGCCTCTTAGGTGATTGTATTCTTCCAAAGCCAGCCTTGCTCAATATTTTTGTGCTCAATCAAAAACATTTTAGTTATTCAACAAAGCGTTTATTCTCATGATGAAATAAAATAATGAATAAAAATAAATGAAAAAGAAATTAAATCTTTTTTGTTTATATGCAGTACTACTTTTTCTAGCATAGTCTGGGCGTACCACTCAAAAAGTCAGATTCTTTAAACTAGAAAAAGTTGCAAAAGAGTACAAGTTAAATGAAGATTTCCTCATACACTGGAAATTAAAATGCTGGACTTTAGTTCATACTTACTGTCAAACAGCATTCAGCTATCCATAATTCTTTAAGAAACGGACAGTTCTCTAAATCAGAAATCCACTGGATGTGCTGCCTAACCAGAGTTAGTTTTGTTAAACTAGGAAAATGAGACAGGCCTACTATTCTGGGGTAGCCTGAGAAAAACATTTCCAAGTTTTGTGTTGAAGGTCCTTCTTGCTCAAGTCTTTCATAAGCCAATCCATTACTTGTACACTGGAAGAAACAGATAAAATTATTAGTATGTGTTTGTTATGACTGAAAGATAAAACTATAAGAAAACTCCAAATAGCTTTGCATTTTGGCAAGTAAGTATCCAGAAGAACTCCATATGTATTTATTTTGGTCTAATACTAATTCTAGGGAGCCCTTACGTTTGAAATAGTGGCGAATATCTAGGTCAGATGTAGGATGAGGGTGAAGGTTCGTTCTCTGAGCTTGTGGGTTGGTTTCCGAACGTTTCGTTACCAGGCTAGATAACATCTAGCTAAGTCAGGGGTAGGCAACCTTGGCTCTTTTATGACTCTTTCAACTCCTAGAATTCCTGAGCCAGCCATGCTGAGAAGAAATGAAGAGGTTTCCTTGCTGAGCCATGCTGGCTCAGGAATTCTGGGAGTTGAAATCCACGAGTCATAAAAGAGCCACAGTTGTCTACCTCTGAGCTAGGTAAAACTCCGCTGAAGATGTTACCTAGTCTGATAACGAAACGTTCGGAAACCAACCCACAAGCTCGGAGAATGAACCTGCACCCTCAGCCTTATGTTGCCTACTTCACTGCCTAACTTTTTTTAAAAAATGAATTTTACTCTGCAATTCACCATTTGGTCTACATCCTTTTTGACTGCCAAGACTGCAAGGACCATATACATCTCAATGATTTTCACCTTAGCTGAGAAAATTTCATTTACAACATACAAGACTTTGCCATCTACTCTGAGAGACAAACAACAGTAACAATACTATAGAATTATCAAAAATAATTAAAGCAAAAAGACAATATTGCGAAAACATCATGCCATCCCACTGACATTTTAAGAAAAAAATCTGGAAAATTGCCTTATTAATGATAACCCGATTGTTAATAAGAAATAATCACAATTTTCAAAAGATGTGTTCACATCAATCATTACTTCAACAGTTGATAGAATTAACCATATTAGCATGTCATGCAAACACAGTTAGAGAATACTTGTTCATCAGAAATAGTGTAATGCCATCAGTGAAATGAATACGATGATTATGGCTGCTCAAGATCAGTGGTGTACTCAGTTGTATACCCTGCTCCTCACAATGACAAACAGACGCTACTGGGATCCTTACAAGGAAGAATAAAAACACACCGATTGCAACAGTCTCCCAGTAACTTCTAAAAGTCTTCAACTGGGGACCTTGCAGCATTTATATAGTTCTTATAAAAGTATCAACTGATAAATCTATCATATTTGCATATAACCCTGAAAAGTATTACGATTTCTTGATTCTATCTTCTTAAAGACTCTCCTTTACAGATTATGCATTAACAAGGAACATTCCTTGAAAATGCATGGTTGCAAACTACAACACTGATAATCAAAACATATGAATGATTGACAGAATCAGTTTAATATTGTAAAAGATACCAGACAACCTATTAAATAAGGTGCCAAATTATCCTATTAAATAATAAATAACAGTAAAAGAGATAGAGCAGTGTATATAGCAATAATGACAAGAGTTAACTTGCTTCCTCTGTACTGCCAGTAAAGCCTATATGTGATATATACTTAAAAGTTTGCTTCACGCACAACACTGAGAAATAAATATTTAATAACCTTACACAAATTCTAAACAGTGAATTGAGGGGTTATAAGGGGGGCGACAAATATGGTAATATTTATATAGGCCCAGTTGTAAGATCAGAGGGGTAGTTATTGTTTATCATTCTGTTTGATTGCTCTTATAGAATTACCAAATATTTAGACAATCAAAGAGGTTTTTAAAAACACACCAAAACTTACCAACTCTTTAATTATTTCATCAGAAGCAATCTGGTTTTGAGAATCACTCTGTATCATTTTCTGAGCATTTCAGCATAAAAGACATAGTTCATACCTAAAGAATAAAAATGTAATATCTTTGTAAGAAATTAGTTATGAAGCCAAGATTCAGCTGTTTAGATAAGAGAGGACATATGATAAAATATAAACTTTAAGGTATCTAGATCCCAAGCTCCAAAGCATCAGAAATCTAGAGCACTGTTTCCCAATCTTGGCAACTTTCAGATATACTTCAACTCCCAGAATTTTCAGCAGCTGCCATAGTTGTTGAAGAATTCCACGTATTGAAGGCCAGGAAGTTGGTAAGGTTGGAAAATACTGCTCTAGAGCCAATTTTAAACCAGCAAGAAATGTTTAGCAAGCTAGAACAAACAAGAGTAGTATGCTCTGATCAGCCAACTCCCACTAAGTTATTTTTTTAAGTTTCCTTATATGGAATCTCTGAAACAGAAATTAGTCTATTAATTTAGTCTACTCTAAGGATTTGCAAACCTTTTGGATGAGCAGGCACTTCAGAATCTTAAGATAATGTCACAGTGCTCTCAGCAAGTGGCTACCATAGTAAGTATACCTATTCACAAAAGATTAGTTCACAGTTGGATTCCAAGCATCCTATGGAGATGCCCAGGGAATGGACTTACCCAATTATCTGGGAACAATTTGATTCTGTTGGGCCTGAGGAAGTCAACAGGGTCCTGTGAATCAAAAACACCCCCACCTGTATATTAGATCCATGCCCTTCCTGGCTGGTCAAGCCTTGTGGGAGGTGGCATGTGGGTGGTTCCAAGCAATCATTAATTCATCTTTGTCAGAGGAGGTGTTTCTGGCTCCCTCAAAAGAGGCACTGGTTTGTCCCCTACTCAAGAAGTCATTGCTGGACCCTATTGTGCTGGACAATTTTTCTTCACTCTCCCACTTCCTTTCTAGGAAAGATGGCTGAGAAAGTGGTGGCATTGCAATTCCAGAAAACCCTGGAGGAAACATATTATACAGATCTTTTCAGACAACTTTCAGACCCAGATATGAGACTGAAACTACATTGGTCACACTCATGGATGATCTCTGGCAGGATGGGTTGCTCAAAACTGGATAATGTCGATGCTGCTAATAGCTTGGAAGAAATTTACAGAACACTACACTGGTTATGAAATGAAATTCCTTATCATCATGCGTTTGCAAAACAAAACAAAACACTGATTTTAGATGCATGACTCAGTTATCTTCTATAAAATAAACAACAGCCTTCATTGTTTGCTGTTGTAAAACTTAAAGTTAATTGGGGTGAAAGGCGTTGCATCCATAAAAATGCTGTTATTGTGACTAGCAACAATATTTGTAGGTTAAGAAAACACGTTAAAATGATAATTTTCCAAAAGACCCTTAATCAGAACAGCATTCTATAGAGAACATGATTCCAGACACATTGCCCACAAAACAGGGATACATAACATTGAAAGTGTTCTAGTTTCATTAATGCAACACAGTAAATCCAAAACCTATTTTAACAAAACACAAATAGCATATTAAGCACAAATACCTATTAGTTCAATGTGATAGTATGGTTCATGTAACATAATATGCTGCAAGGTTGTGTTTAAACCACTACTTGCCCCTTAAACTACAAACTACCCACATCCATTTTCTGCAAACTCAGACCCTTGTTGATTTTGAGCTATTATTTCTCAGCTTATGAGGACAAAAGGATAGGGTCTCTCTCTCTCTCTCTCTCTCTCTGTTTGTGTGTGTGTGTGTGTGTGTGTAACACAAATATGAACGTGGTTTCATGAAAGGTCGCGGGAAATACAAAGTATTCTCTTTCTTCTATGGCATGCTAACAATATGGCATGCTAACACCTAAAGCAAGTTAAATAACCCGCCTCAAGTCATTTTAATTAAGCCCTCAAAGGAGAACGCGATTCCAGTAAAGGTTGACGAGGAATTCCAGAATAATATATGGAGGAAAGGTGCTTCTCTTTGGGGGCGGGGAGCAAAAGAAGGCACCTTCCCAGCCCTCAAATGATTACAGAATTACTCCATAGCCTGAGATGATCAGAATCCTAATCCAACCCATTCCAAGTGTGCCTGTTTGGGAAAGGCGATGGAGCAGGGACGATTCCTCTGGTCTACTAATCGTCCTTCCCAGCGGCCATCACTCACCTGCCTGGAGCCTAAGTTGCTGCCCAAATAAGTCCAGGCTGTGTACAACAGAGGCCTTCCTTGTCACTAGGCAACCACATTTTCTCTCTCATTACCAAGCTCCAGCCAACCAGCGGAGACCAAGTGACAGCGTGATAACACGTGACCTAGCTCCACTGTGAGAAGAGATGATTGTTCCTCCGCCCAGCGGAGTTTTCATAGAGTTGCAAGCAGGTCCCGTCAGGATGTTTTCGTTCGGCGCGGGTTGTGATTAATGCCAAGCACTGCGGCTTCATGGACTACAGTACGTCTGGGCTTCAGGCAAAGGTTTACATGGCTGGAGTTTGCACTTTGTCTTTAGCGAAGAAAAGTCTCAGTTGGCTTCAGAGAAGCTGTAATTAATTAAAGTAAATGTTTGCATCCTCTCTCTTTTAGTGCACATTCTTCGAATTTTACTTATCTCAGTCAGATTTACTTTGAATAAGCATAGTTTTAATTGCAGCTGACATCATTTTGTGTTGATTGTACTGTATTTAATTCTAGTACAAAAGGCAGAAAAGCCACCTTTGAAGAGTGTAATCTTTTCTGATAAAGTTAAATAAATGTAATCTTTTCTGATAAATAAATGCTACCCAAAATAGTTAATAAGATCAAATTTTACAAATCTGCTGTTGTAATTGTAGTAAAACTTACCCTTAAATATGCTTATTCAGTAATATGTATAAAAATAATGAATGTATAATTATGATGTAGAACATGAGTAGGAAGGCAACTAAACATTTACAAAGTGGGGGTAGCACATTAAATGTATAGTACTAGGAACAAGGATGAGTAATTAAAATTCTAGAAGTTAATAACATTCTCTAATTTGCTTACAGTTTCATGCTTAAAATGAATAAAAATTTGACTACAGCTGTAAAAACTACAATCTCAGTTATTGAGATTTTGTCTCAGCTTCCAATATTTGGAATATGAATTTGTCTTTTGTCTCTTGGTGTACCAGATGATACGTAATTCAAGATGATGTCATTGTTTTAGACTCTTAGCAACCACATATTCAAAATAAAGTAAAATAAAATTTGTCATTGTGAGTCATACTTAGTAACTATAAACTCAGTGCTTAAACTGATTTACAGGACTTTTTGAATGGATTAACTCTTTGTATTTTAGCAAGATTACAAATATAATTGTCTTTTAGAAGACATTTAAGAGAAAGTATTTAACAGTTGCTTATTGCATATGCTATACTACATTATGTTGAACTTTCAAACCTGTAAAAGATATTATCGAAAAGACACTGAATGGATTCACATACATTAAAGCAAGATTTAATTACTGTTTGTTGAAGGTATAATCACTATTCATGCCAAGCCATAAACTATGATTGACAACCAGGTTTTGAATCTAGCCCAACTACTACTGGGAAAATCCAGGATCAGTTCCTCACTTAGCCATGAAGCTCACTGAGAGATTTTGAAGCAATTACTGTTTCATATAACATATTCTGAGAATTGTGAGGATAATGAAGAATTTGTTAAATGATGCTAAAAGAGAAGCATATACCACCCCAAGTTCTTTGAAGAGAAGTTGTAAGTGCACTAAAAATGTGAAGTAAAAGAAAGCAGAGTGGTCCAGAGGGACAGGTTTTGAGATCTCAGAAAAACCAACTACCAATTCCATTTGTACAATTCTGCCTGAACAAAAATTATTTGCCCATCAAAGCTACAAAAACTCTTTGGGGTATGTGAAGTGCCACTTTTATGCCACCAGATGTCACTTTTTCACATGTGTCTTCCATCCATATACTGTATGCACTGAAGAATTTTCTAGCAAATTCTTGTGGTTTCTTATCAATAAAGCCTTAGTTTATAATGCTTCTATAGGTTATTCACATTTATATTCTAGATTTAATATACATCATCTAGCCATTTAGGGAGATATTTCATGGATGCTCTCTAATAGCTATGAATCAAAGACACTAGAAATTAGATTTCTCTGCTGCTCTAGGAATTTCTCTTTGTGATATCACACTGTCTCCTCTGTTTAGTGGCTGAGCTGGTTTTGAATGAAAGTAATCTTACTATTTACAGTGCTGAAGCTCTGCAAAACATGAGAATATGTCTCAAGCTGCCTTTTGATTCCTTGTCTCAAATCAATTTTTCCTATTCTTTGCATAGGTTCAGCTGCTTTATAATTACTCATCATTAGAAACAAACACGCATGTTGGGGAGGGAGAATTAGCAGGCAAAACACATGCAACATGAATGAATGAATGAATGAATGAATGAACGAGGATGCACTCTGAATGCCATTCTTCTATTGGATTACTGAAATGAACAAGTGATTGGTTGTGAAGTTAACTTTTCAAGATCTATAGGGGTGATATAATGAATTTCTCAGAGCCAAGGAAACTGGATGGAAATTCATAAAAGGTTATATATACAAAACAACTGCACATTTTCTTTGTCAAGAAAACAAGTGGCTACCTTCCCAGTGAATTGTACTTGGTTAGCAAGAAGACCAAGGACTCTTAGCCTAATGAACTCAGAAATAACTTGTGACTTTCTGTGAGAGCAAGTGTTGAGGTACTCTAAACCAGGGGTCTTCAAACTTGGCCCTTTTATGACTTGTGGACTTCAACTCCCAGAATTCCTGAGCCAGGCATGCAGGCTGAGGAATTCTTGGAGTTAAAATCCACAAGTCACAACAGGGCCAAGTTTGAAGACCCCTGCTCTAAACAGTGCACTAGAATTTTATGCCTGGATTTTGGGCATCTCAACTTCATGCATAAGTTGAAATTGGATTTCTTACTTAATTGTAGCCTTACTTGTTCTAAAGAGAGCCTTTGATTTCATCTGGAGCCCCTTCTTGTCCAATACAGCTTTGATAATTAAGGTTGAAGCTTAATATGTTCTGTATCCTGATGAGCTGCCCTCTATGCTGGTTGACATGGTTGATTGTTCTTTGAAGTTTACATTTAGGTTTTCTTATTCTCTTGCAGGATTGGTATTCTGAGTCAGTTTGTCTCCTCTCAGCACTGATCCTAGAAATCTGTATGTGACTGATTCTTTTTTGAGTCTGGAAAAGTCCCATGCAATATAACCTATATCAGTGATGGCGAACCTTTAAGAGACTGAGTGCCCAAACTGCAACCCAAAACCCACTTAGGCATCGTCAAGTGCCGGGTGGGTGTGATCCATTAGCTGGGTGTGGCCAATTGGGTGGGTGTGGCTGCGGTGATAACGGCAGACTGGGTGGGATTAAAAAGTTCAATCAATCAGTTCCAACTTTGCAAGATTTTTTTTTCCTGCGAGAAGTTGAAATTGACTGATTAAATGTTGTTTTTTTTTGCACATGGTGGCAGAAGTCTAAAGTGAAAAGGTTTTATAAAACCCAGCTGAAGGCCTAGGATTGGGGTGATGGTGCACGTGCCCACAGAGAGGGCTCTGAGTGCTGCCTCTGGCATCCGTGCCATAGGTTCGCCACCACTGACCTATATCAAGTCCTTTCTTGCTTGCTTGTTTTCTCTGAAAAAAGTCTAAAACAGATGCCTCCAATATATTCTTCCCTTTTCATTTACTTCAGGAAAACATCTTTTCTATAGGAGAGCATCAGACTGAAGGTAAAGGATGCCAATCAAAGGCTATCCACAATGGATACACTATTGTTCTACAGTGTGAATTTGTAGACATATGCATGATTTTCAGCCCCATGTAGTAGATGTTAGGATAAGTCCAATCTCTGCCATAGCTTTTTGCTGGTTCTTTATGTAACCATGCAGACATACATTCAAACCAGTCTATCAGAGGAGGCTAATGGACTATACAAGGGCTGTGTCATATCAAATGCTATTTTGACATTGGAAGTAGAGTTTTAAACACTGTCAAAGAGGTGTCTGGGAAGAAAAAGATTGGAAAAAATGAGAGGATTAGAAATGGAGCAGATGGTTTGCAGCTAAAATGGCTGAAATGAACAGATGCTAATTGATTATTGAAGTTGGATTTATTTTAGTAAAACCCAGTAATGGGCTGGTAAACCTGAGTTGCATTAGCATGGAAGCAGATGGAAGACCGCCCAAAATAATTATTTGGGCACTATCCTAAAAAGTCTGCTGAAGAGGAAGAGGCATCACAGGACCCTCATATGGCGGAAATCTCTTGGTGGAGCTGAAGACTATAGAAGAGGAGAAGATAAAAGGTACACCTGCTAAAGAAAAAAGCCAGGAAATATTGAGCTATCAGTATGACTGATGAAGGGATGGTAACAGGAATAACCTTAAGCCCTTTCTTAACTCTTGAGTTAAATAGTTTTAATATTGAACAATATGGAAACATACAAACATGCTAGGCATATACGTATATTGTCATGGCTTGCTAAGAGATATTGTAAGTGGTTTTGAGCAGAAAGAAAAAGAAGCTGAAATATTCCTAAAGCAGGGACAATGAAAGAAGGAAAGAATGCAAAACCATTAGGGAAGCCAGGAAAATTAAACTACTTGATTATTCTGTTAAAGCTTGAAAAAATGGCTATCTCTGTATATGAATAAAATCTGAATTAAAGATACTCTAACAGCAACTAAAATATTCTATGGGCTCTTAGATGCAGCATTTAGATCACAGGGCCAGTTACTTTCATGTGTATGTTTATAAATGGTGCATTACAAAGAATGAAGTGACAGCTGCTTTTGTAAAAAGGATTCAACATCACTGAACTTCATTGATAAGAACTTGGGAGGAAAGAAAGGAAGCCAAAGGAGAAAAACAAGTCTACACAGTTTTGTACATATCCAATTTCCCCCTATTTGCCCAACAAAAAAATGAATGTGACGTACTCCAAATATTCTTGTTACAATAGTTCTAAAAGATAAATTACAATACAGTTTAGTTTATTACATCCAAAATTCCTATCCTTCAGTATTCTTGTTCAGAGGAAAGAAGTCAGGATCAAAGGTACTGCTTAATCTTTTAAAGAGTATGTGGATTTTCAAAGGATCTTTCTCCCCTTTTCTGTCATTTCAGATTTTACTTTATTGGCAGGTCTGATTTGTTTTGAAGGGGTAGAGATAGCTACTTTCACTGTGGTTGGATCAAAGTATGGCGGTCAGTTTTTCTAGATCGAACATCTTAATTGA